TAGAGATTAATCCAGACATAGGGCAGTTAATTATCAGCGGTTACATTTGCGACAAGGATCTTGCTCCCATTATCAGGAGCCTGAAAAATTCAAGCCATGACAATCTGCACGACTGTTACCTTCTAAATAAAACACCCGGTTATCTTTATCTCAGATCTTCACCACAGAACAGGTTATGCATTCCAAAGAGTAGCAAACTCCGACTCGCCCTGCTTCAAGAATACCATGACTGTGTGACTGCGGGGCATCCCGGTCGAGATCGCACCTATTTCAGACTCGCTAGATATTTCTATTGGCCCAGAATGGGACTGGATGTAAAGGCGTTTGTCAAGTCAAGTGACGTCTGCCAACGAGTTAAAGGCGGCCAGCTAAAAACTGGTCTCTTGCTGAATTTACCAGTGGCCAGTGAGCCGTGGGCGGATATCTCGATGGATTTTATCATGGGTTTGCCTAGGACCGATACAGGTCATGATGCTATATGTATTTGTAGACCCCTTGACAAAGTGTGTACATTTAGCACCTACTTCCTCTACTATTGACGCTAAAGGAAGTGCTGATCTGTATTTTCAACATGTATTTCGACTGCATGGTTTGAGTTCTAGTATTGTATGTGATCGTGATCCAAGATTTACAGCAGCATTTTTTCAGGAATTGTTTGATCGCTTAGGACCGAAACTAGCATTTAGTACTGCCAATCACCCACAGACAGATGGCCTAACTGAACGAGTAAACAGAATAGTAGAGGATATGCTGAGGGCTTTTGTAAATCATAAGCAAGTTAACTGGGATATGCTCCTACCTCTCTGTGAGGTTTCTATCAACAGCGCCACTCAATCATCTACAGGAAACACACCGTTCTTCTTTTAAATTAAAGTCTAAATCCCAGAGCGCCACCCGACTTCTTCAACCCTATTCACGAAGGCAGAGATTCAGCTGATTGGTTGCAAGCAAGACAAGACGCGGTCAAGATCTCACAAGATGCGCTAGTGGCAGCTCAAGCTCGTCAGGCCTTCTATGCAGATCGGACAAGGGTCGAGGGAAAGCTGAAGGTGGGAGATTCGGTAACGGTCTACCGGGATTTCCTTCTGACTCCTGAAGCTCGGGACCGAACATCCCATAAATTACGCCCCAAGTGGTTTGGCCCCTTTCCTATAACCCAGGTGGTCGGCCCGAATGCCTACAAGCTCAAGTTGCCTCATACCAGCCGCTGTCAACCGGTATTTAATGTGTCGGCACTCCGTGCCTACTAGAAGAACGCTATTCCTAGTAGGAGCTGAAGATACCCATGCAGCATCCATCCGTCGAAGGCTCGCAGCGGGTGGTTTATCCAGTCGTGAATGGTGGTCCACTGTCAAGCGTGCCGGTGGGTGTGGGCGTAGCCATGATATCCCTACCCTCAAGGAGGAAAACGGCGAGGAGCTAACCACCAGTAAGGACAAAGCAGAGAGCTTTGCCCGCTACTTTTCAGCGAAATGCAGCCTTGGTGATGACCTTGATGCCAGCGACCTCCCGTATGTACGCCCGCGATCTGATGCTTGTCTTAGTACCATCCACTTTAGGCCACGAACGGTATGCCGTGAACTGAGGAGGATTATCCAGCCCAAAGCCACTGGCTCGGATGGTGTACCAGGACGAGTGTTGAAGCAGTGCTGTGAGGAACTGTGCAGGCCTGTGGCCCAGCTCTTCAGCAAAGCATTCCGCCAAGGCCGGCAACCGTCACTGTGGAAGCTTGCCTCAGTTGTACCTGTGCACAAGAAGGGTTCGAAGTCCGCAACAAAGAACTACCGACCCATATTCCTGCTGCCAATACTGTCAAAGGTCATGGAAGCTATCATCAATCGTAGCCTTATGGGATTCCTTGAGCGCCGGCACATCCTCACCACTAACCAGTACGGCTTCCGCTCCGGCCTGGGAACGCAGGACCTCCTTACCCTACTACACCATCGTTGGAGCACCATGGCTGCAGGGGGCGGAGCTGTGCGGGGTGTTGCTGTGGATATTGCTGGAGCGTTCGATCGAGTCTCCCACCAGGTCTGATCCACAAAGCCCAGCAGTACGGTGTATCTGGCATGCTCCTTGCATGGTTGGGGGACTACCTGCTGGACAGGCGCCTGAGTGTTGTCGTTGGTGGGCAGTAGTCCAGCCCACACCGCATCACAGCCAGTGTTCCGCAAGGTAGCTTGTTGGGACCGACACTGTTCCTCCTCTATACGAACGATGCCGATGACCACCTTCCACCAGGTGTGGATCTGGCCCCTTATGCCGACAACACAACGCTGTTTCAGTGCCTGTCCACCATGGATACCATTGACCACAGCTCGACAGTCCTGCAAAATGCTCTGGGTGCCCTTGTGAATTGGGGCACCAGCTGGAGAATTGCGTTCGAGCCAGCCAAGTCCCAGGCCATGACTATTGACCATCACCGCCCCGCCTGGGACCTCCCAGCAGTACAGTTTGCGGGTGTCCCCCTGAATGGAGAGAGTAACCTCAAGCTTCTTGGAGTAACCTTGGACAGCCAACTTTCCCACCGCAACCAGCTCCGTACCATCGCCATCAGAGCACGCCAGCGTCTCGGGCTCCTGCGGAAGGCCTCGCCGCTCCTGGATTCTCGCAGCCGAGCTACAGTGTACCGTGGGTTTGTACGCCCAGTAATGGAGTACTGCCCATTGGTCTGGATGTGCGCAGCAGATTTTCACTTGCAGCGACTTAACCAGACGCAACGCTCAGCCCTCCACTTGATTGGCCCCGGCGCAATGCTGCAAAGCCTGTCTATCCGGCGCATGGTAGCTGCGTGTACCTACATTTACAAGCTACTGTGCTGCAATCCTACCAGCCCACTTCGTCAGTTCTTGCCTCCCTCTCAAGCCCCCCGACCAGCCCATGTTCGACCCACTCGTCTCTCTCTCGTCCGTCTCGACATGCATAACTACCAGCTTGAGACAGGGCTACCTGTCAATAGCCGGGAAAGTGGCCGTAGAGCTTTCCCCGCCTGTGCTGTCCCTGTATGGAATGCCCTGCCACCCACCGTCCTCAGCCAGCCACCTGACCGGAAACGGCTGCAAAGTTTCAAAGTGTCTGTCTTCCGGCACCTCCGTGCCCAGCAATGGCACTGGGCCACTGACACTTTGTAAGATGTATGCACATCTGCCCACACACTGCTGCATATTGCCATACCCCTCGTGCCCTGCTTACTCTTTTCTCTGGATCTGAATGTGCACCCCTTACGCATTATATAATTATACTATATTTAGTTCTCTCCCCCTCTCTTGCGCCCAACCCTCCCTGCTCGCTCTCTCTCTCTCTCTCCCTCTCTCTCTCTCCCTCTCTCTCTCTCTCTCTCTCATTTTTTATTATTATACTTTATTTAGTTCTCTTTTTTAGTTCTCTTGCTCCCCAACCCTTCCCGATATGTCTCTCTCTCTCTCTCTATGTCTCTCTCTCTCTCCCTCTCTTTCTCTCTCTGCTATTGGCGCGCCTGGTTGTGATGAAGCCGAGACCCAAGTTCGGCAGAGCATCCCAGACCACGCCACCACTCCCCTTATTCATGGCTCACACAGGACGGGTTTACGTGGCTCTAGTAAAAAGAAAAAGAAAAAAAGGAGACAGCCTACGCCTCCGCCTATCACGGACCTTGATGGTCATACCCGCTATGTGGTGGAGAACGTTCTCAGTCACCGCCGCCGGCAGAATCAGCTTTAGTACCTAGTCAAGTGGCAAGGCTACTCTGATGCCACTTGGGACCCTGAACATTACTTGTTGGATGAATCTGGTAATGACATTGTTCCACTTCAGAAGTACAAAACCTTGGCTTCTGCCTGCTGAGTTTTGCAGTTGAACTTCTAGTTTTCACCTTGTTTTGAGCTTATTACACTTTTATTTGCATGGAGTTTCAGTCGTCTTGTGTTACTTCAGTGTGAAGCCTTTTTTCGTCTCGCACGTGTTTGCGCTTATTGTACTTTATTCAACGTGAGCATTTGGGTTATATGCTCCTTCCTCTCCATAGGAGGGGGATGATGTAACAGTTTTCCCCTGTTCGCTTTAACTTTACACTCCCTCGCACCTCGTGCATCTTACGCCTGTCTATTAGCACCTTCATTGGCGCCATTGCCACATGTGTACAATCACCTTTTGCATATAACTGGTTGAGGCACGCTCAACCAGGTCTCTTTCTTTTCAAGTTCGATTAAACCTGTTACAAATGGCAGCTCCACTTTAAGCTAACAGCAGCTCTACTTTGAGCTAACCGAAGCTCTACTTTGAGCTAACCGCAGCTCTACTTTGAGTTAACAGCAGCTCTACCTTTAGCTACCAGCAGCTCTACTTTGAGCTAACCGAAGCTCTACTCTGAGCTAAAAGCAGCTCTACTCTGAGCTAACAGCAACTCTACTTTGAGCTTCAAACCAGTTTTTTTCGAAACCAGCACTCCTCAATCCAAAGATGCCTCATTGCTGACTTGTTTGTTTGAATGATGGGCCTAATTGGGTATAACATCCTAAAGGGGAAGTAAGCCTGAAATCAAATTTTCACCAGATGTAGTCTTCGGGGTGCTGAATTGAATGGTCTTGGTCCGAGGAAGCTGAGACGCTCCCTTCCCCCTGTATTCCCAATCGAACTGGAGCACTTCCACCGAAACTGGATGACTGCGCCCCACCAGATGGAGATTTGTATGCAAATGTCACTAAAAGCGCTATTTCGTTTTTATAAAAGCACGGATGACTACGATTGGCCCATATGTTGTAGTCTTTTGGACGCTGAGTCGACTGGTTTTGGTCCGAAAAGGCTGCAATGCAGCGCTTGGCCCTCATGCCCAATCGAACATGGCCGAACAAGCGGTCACGTGCTGCTGCGTACACCAGTCACCTGGTCACCGCCCCAGCAGGCGACAATTTTCACACCAAGGTTCAACTCAAAGGTTCAACCCGAGTGACTGAAACCCAGTTGTACTTACTCTACGTACGGCAGAAGCCTAAGATTGTGCAGAAATAACAAGGTCTACTTACGGATGCAGTGTTTGAGGTCTGCTGCAAGCTGCGGAGCGTATCCCAAGAGCAGACTTAAGAAGAATTGCTCTTGGTGCTTGACAACCTTCTCATCTAACATTGCTTGAATGGCAGCTGGTGTGTTGGGAATGGTGAGAGCTCTTGCACGACTGGAGTTGGCAATCAGTAGCCATTCCGTCATGCAGTTGGTGTCTTCAGTGACCACCGCAGCTGGTGAATCTATTGAGAAGGCGACAGGATATTGGAAAATGAAATTTACAGATCAAACATTTGGAAATTCGGTAGGCACATCCACACGGGAAGACATCGGAAAGAAACTAGGTGCTTTTCGACGTGGAAGGAGGAACCTTGCTGTCCAGGCCAGAAGGCAGTTCTACTTGTCAGTAGTCCAGAGCAAGCTCGAGTACGCCAGCACTGCCTACGTCCACGGCCTCGCTGACAATGTGAGAGATCAGCTGCTACGCATAAGTAGGAGAGCACTTAGATGCATATTTGAGCATGACACATTCACGCGGACATCATACTTGCTTGAGCGATACCACATAATTAGCTTAGACAAAAGATATCATACTAAGTCCATATTCTTCGTGTTCCGTTGCATCCACAATATCTGCAGTTCACTCCTCTCTGACATGTTCTTCCTACGCCGTGACTGCGCTCACACAGACAGAGTAACCCGCGGCCAAGTCAATAATTCCCTTTCCTTACCCATTGTGCAAGCTCAAGCTGGATACAGATCTATTTCACTCCTCGGTGCTGACCGCTTTAATGCGCTTCCCGAATCCCTTCGCACAAATCATATCCCCAATTCATTTCGCCAGGAACTTAACAATTTCATTCATCTTGGGCACCCTGTAAGAAGACCTTAGGGTCTGTTGGGAATGCCCAAGTAAAATAATAAAATACAATACAATACACACTTAACCCACAGTGCATTGTGACATCATGGCTGCGTCTGCACACTCTAGGGCTAAGCGTGGAGTTTTCTCTAATCCAAAAATGGTGTGCAGTCATCTTTCATCCTTCTACGGGACTACGGGAGTATAATCAATACTTCAAGTATAGGCATATCCGGGTGTAATACCGGTATGCCGCGGCCACAGCTTAGTTTAGGCTAAATGGCTTCAATGAAAGGAGAGAGAAGAGAAAGAAACGGGAATAGTGGATCAAATGTCAAGACTTTACACAAGGGTTTTGCCAAGTATTGGTAGCCGTGCATTGCTGGGATATAACCAAAATTGAACCACCTAAGACAGGTACGTCGGTCCTACTCGGAATTTAATGGTGAGCTTTCATCAAGATTTCGGATACAAACACATTAAAACCAAGTACTGATTTCAGAAGTAATGGTACGATAGGCCTCATCAGATCTACAACTTCGTCTCTTCGTGCGCGAATATGCTCCCGTCATATTGCGTGGTGATGTCTGAGGCATTCATACTTTCCATAGCTCTGATAAAACTATTGTACCTATAAAAGATACAGGTTCCACTTTGTTCTCTTGAAATTTAGTGGAACCTGTATTGAGTAACTGAGTTTTATGTTTCGTTACATTGTCGACAGATCTCCTGTGTACCGGTTTTGTGGCACAATGATTATAGCCATTTGTCGTCTCCATTCTTGTGCAATCATGCATATGTAGGTTGGTTCTCTTTATCTTATTGTGACCTATGTCATAGATGCTGGTTGCCTTGTTGCTTTCTCTCCCCTCTCCTCTCACCCAAGCCATTCTCCATAAGGGAAGCTGTGGACGCAGCATACTGCTGCTATACTTCAGCGCGGGAATGCGTATACTAATACAGGGGTGCCGGAAGGTATTTTAGGGTGGTGCGGTCAGTCATCTGAAGTACGGTTTTCTCATGGGGGGAGGGATGGCGGAGCGGAAATTTTTGGAAAATTAGAGTCCAGATCAGTGTATTTTATTGATTCACGGGGTACCTGGGGCAAAAAGTGGTACGGTCAATACCGTAGTGACCGTACCGTGTCCGACGCCCCTGTAATAATAATGATATATATACATTGAGTGAGCTATCATCAAGATAACACCTGTTCCAGTGTCAGTCAGACGTATCCCCTCACCTCTACCGTCAGGTGCTTCACCTGCCGCTGGATTTATCGGGTGCTTGGGGCCATCGTGAGTTCCATTCAGGAATGGACACGATCATTTACTTTTATGTTCTTAATTTGTTACCATCAAGTTGATGTTCTGTCCTCTTGAAACCCGTGGTTGCATCGGACTATGCTGACTACAGCGTTATGGTTCTCCAGTCCGGACAGTGAGAACTGGTTTTCAAAATGAAAGTACACAACTGTGCATTCTGCATTGTTAAGTATTATTACCAGGATTACAATCCTAACCTTCACTAGTAGACACATTACAATCCTAACCTTCACTAGTACACACATTACAATCCTAACCTTCACTAGGAGATCCGAGCATGCCAAAGAATCATCGACCAGTGTCCTTGTTATCGATTGCATCCAAAGTGTTGGAAAGGATAGTCCACGAGCAACTCACACGATATCTAGTCCAGAGCAATTTATTCCCGCCAACTCAATTCGGCTACAGATCCCACCACTCTACATCCGACGCACTAGTGCTAGCTGTGGAAGGTATCTGTGAGGCCCGCATGAACAAACTCAACACAGGTGTAGCCTTTGTTGATATGTCAAAGGCATTCGATAAAGTGAAACATCAAACTCTTGTGCAAGATCTGTTCGAACTTGGCATCTGCGACACGGCACTCTGTTGGCTGGTGGATTACCTCTCTGATAGAGAACAGTACGTTCAGGTTGGCCAGACTAGAAGTCTCCCGTACACCAGTTACTCAGGTGTCCCCCAGGGTTCGGTACTGGGCCCACTGCTATTTATTGTCTATGCCCGTGGCATAGCAGAAGAACTATCGCCGTTTAATGTGGGAGCAATCCAGTTTGCTGATGACATCTCTATACGCTGTAGCAGGGAGTCTGCGGAAGCTGTTTCTGCACACCTTTCAGCTGCTGTTCAGCACCTGGCCACCTGGCTGAAGGGCCGAGGTTTAATTCTTAATGAAAGAAAGACACAGATATTGCCTATTCCCCCATCCCCATCTCAAGCACTTGACCTGCATGTCATTTGTAATGGGCAGACGCTGCCTGTTGTGAAAACGGCCAAGTATCTTGGCCTACATTTCGACTCAGACATGAGCTGGAACACCATGACAAGCCATGTTGCACGCCGCGTTGCCGCTAAGATTGGGCTACTAAATCGAAGTGCAGCATGTTTGCCTTTTTCTTGCCGTGTTCAGTTTTTCAGGTCCTTTATACTATCAGAATTTGACTATGCATCTGCTGCCTATGCCCCTTTCTTATCGTCTTATCAGGATAAGCGCCTAAATAGTTTGTTCAAACGTGCGGCTCGCTCGGTGTGCAGGGCAGCCCCTCGCACTCACACGGTTCCCTTACTTGAACGCATGAATGCCCATACCCTCAGCATACAGTCAACTTCGCCAATAACGACTGCGGATATAACGACAATTCGCGAATAACGACAGAATTTCCATGCCCAGAGCAAAGTCCCATCCAATTGTAATACATATAATGAGACTTCGGGTATAACGACACCTCGCAAATAACGACACTTTTCTGATGCCCCGCCGAGTGTCGTTATACGCGAAGTTGACTGTATACACCCACATGCACATTCTTGTATTCATTTGGCGCTGCCTGAACAAATCTTCAAGTACTCTGTTTGCAAGCTTTTTCACCCGTAGTCCCTCTCTCCGAACACGAGGAGGGAGCAGCAAGTTACTCATCATTCCTGTCTCCCCCACTGCATCCTCAGCTAAGCGCATAAGCCATGCTGGAGCTATCCTGTGGAACCAGCTCCCAGACACAGCACGCCTCGAAAGAAAGCGCTCCACTTTCAAATCGCTAAGCCTGGCCTTTCTGTTAGGCAGTACCGTCAACTAGGATGAACTCATCTGCTTCACTACCTCTCTCTCTCTCTCTCTCTCTCTCTCTCTCTCTCTCTCTCTCTCTCTCTCTCTCTCTCTCTCTCTCTGTCTCTCTCTCTGTCTCTCTCTCTCTCTCTCTCTATTTCTCTCTCTCTCTCTCACTCACTCACTCTTTTCTTCCCGGTTGCCGTGCTTGTGACTTTTTTCCCCTGCTGCCGTGCTCATATTGGTTATCTAACTACAGCTGTATCCTCTTCTTGGTTCTGTTTGTCCGCTTATTATTACATATTTTTCTTTTCTCTTATTATCAGTGGGACCATTGTCATTAGGTTTAGGCCTGTTTTGGAACTCCACTTCAAATAAAGCCAAACAACAACAACAACAACAACAACAACAACACTAGTAGACACATTACAATCCTAACCTTCACTAGTACACACATTACAATCCTAGGTGAGAAATATCTTTTTCCCATTTGCAAATTCATAATGTCAGCTGGTCAGGTTGGCATGATTTCAAAATTATACATGTTTTGATCAATATTTATGCACTTTAGAAAACTGTGGGCACAAGGTATGCTATCGAGTCCACTAGCTAAAACAGATTTTGAACAGTCAGACGTGCATAATCTAGCACAAACGTACGTCAGACTGTTCAAAATCTGGCTTAGTTGGCGGAATCGGTCGCGCAACTTGTGCACTCACTTTTGCATGCTAAAATATTTCCCTTGGCTCACCATCAAAAATCTTTAAAAAAATTATGTACTTTGGATGATAATTGGGGAAATGTTCACGAAGATACACCTGTTGTCTGGCTACATCTCTCATTTTCGGTAAAATAAAATCCGCCGAACACCTTTACCACACACTCGCTTCTGAACAGAACAAAATTTATGATGAATTTCAATTCAAACTCTTCTTTTTGCTGCTTTTTTTCCAAAGGCTTATTGTCAATTTTTACAAAAGGTGAAACGATACCCACGTAAACTAGTGGTGGATCTGTGTACATGTCCAATATACAAAAGCGAGAATTCTCAGAATTCCTTGAGTGATACCACAAAGGCAGACGAGAACATAGACAAGAGTCCAGATCAGAGTTGCAAAGCTGCGTTTCATTCATACATGTATAGCAAGGCTAAGGTAAACCTCAGACAACTGACTCAGTTGTCTGAGGTTTACCTTAGCCTTGCTATGTGCATTAAGGTGGCCCCATACATGGCTAAAAAAACGTGATTTTTTGGACTTGGAGCAAAATTCTGCACACTTTCGCGTGTTTCCATGAAACGACAAGTTGCGCACGGTCTGTTCACAATCAATACAGTGCTGCCAAAAAATGACAGCGTGCAACAAAAAATCTTTCCTTGCAAGGGCACATTTTCGGCCATATCTCTTGAACGGCTGGTCAGATCGAGACAAATTTATTTTTCAGAGATTTTGCAGCTATTCATGCTATTTCAACTGATCTAGCGTTCGCCATGAATTTACAAATCCGATTTTTTAGGAAATTGTTAGGTGATATGTCACCTCAATTAATTAAGGTGGCAGCCTACCCATAAATTTCATATGGCATTCAATTGACCGTAACTTTGGTGTCTCTCAATGGATTTGAGTGACATTTTTTTACACACTCCTGCCACTATCCTGGTCCTCTGGACATGATTTAAAAGTTCTTGCGCCTCACTGAAATGGCTTTCCAGGCCGGAAAAACTCAAAATTCCGGCATAGTGCCACGGTGTGCGAGCCATCCAGGAGCCAAAAAAATGCATTTACAATTTTTTCACATTTTCTTGCCCATTCTGTCCCTGCGCCGCGGGATCCAAACCTAAAAGAAGTCCAGAAGCAGCCATGGGTGGTGGGATAGGGCCCCTGAACGTGCCCCTGGAATTTGTCACAACGGCACGAGTGGGCGTTCTCTCACAGACTCCCACAGACCCAAGTCAATTTTTGTTTTGTTTTTGTTTAGCACGTGCTACGAGGTCGTACCTTTGATAAAACTTACAGTGCTGGGGCCTCCACAGCAAGCCATTTCCACAGCGCTGCACACCAAATCCAGGATACCCGAAAAATCGGCAAAGACTACCACTCACGTTCCACAACTGCCTAGTACTGAATCCTACCTGACTTCTTGACACGACTCAAACTTGCCAAAGTCACTAACTCAACGTCAACTACAATAATCAAGCCACATATCTGCAACGTAACCATTGGTAACGGGGGTGCTGGCAAAAGTCCTGCTGCACGGCGGCGGGCGAAGCCCCCCCCCCCCGCCCCCGCTGTGCAGCCCAATACATGGCTAAAAAACGTGATTTTTGGACTTGGAGCAAAATTCTGCACACTTTCGCGTTTCCATGACCATGATACGACAAGACGGTCTGCCCAGATTCAAATACAGTGCTAGTGCTGCCAAAAAGTGACAGCGTGCAACAAAAAAAATCAAAAAAAATCTTTCCTTGCAAGGGCACATTTTCGGCCATAACTCTTGAACGGCTGGTCAGATCGAGACAAGATTTTCAGGGTTTTGTAGCTATTCATCCAACAATGATCTAGCTGATTTTCTCTGTTCTCTTCTACAGTCTACTATAATTATGTATGTACTTGTACATGCATTACTTGCTTGCATGCAAATACTACTTTGTGTCTGGCTGGTTTGACAAGTTCCTGTCATACAGCTGTCACCAGACCAGCCCTGTGAGTACAGCAGGTGATGCATGACTTTATGCTTTGGCACAGAGATCATACAATACTCTTAGGCTGCAATGCTGGTACATGTATGAATTGTACATATTATTAGATGTACATGTACACATACAATGGAGACAAAATGCTGTGGAGCTGTAACTTCAAGTCTTGGCCACCATCACACAGCCGCGCTTGGATGCATGCCGAATGCTGCTGTATGATAATCACCGATATGAAAGTTGAATTCACAGCCACACTGGCGTCCGCATCCATTATGTCATCACTGTTCTATACATTAGTTCATAGAGCACTCTGATTCAAGCGGCCTCGACCAATCTGCATGTTTAGATAGTTCTTTAAAAAAACTGTTTCTGACCGGTCATAATAAAATTGAATTGAGTTTCATGCACATCACACCGCTGATTGCCATAAACGTCAACACACACAAGATAACAATGTACATGTACGTCGTCTACAACGTACGTGGTGTTTGACTGTTATCAAACTTCTTACCGGCATCGTCCGGCACCACTGGTGTTGGTGAGGCCATAGCCTGTCCACAGTTCACCGTCATCACCAGCAGCAGCAGCAATGGAGCCAGATACAGTAGTAGGTATGCCATGATACTGCCTAGCTGTAGGCTGCGCATAGCTACACCTGACACCAGAGGGTAGTTCGCAGTATCACTATCAGACTACTGGGTTAGCTATCGGACTCGAGAACACCTGATGATCAGCTGGAGAGGAATTGGTTGAGAAAAAAGAATTGTGGGCCAGTCAACGTTTTTAGCACCTATTCTAACTCACTGCCGTTCATGTACATTCATACGTTAAACGGAGTACAGCTTGAATATGTACATTGCGGCCTTCGCGGCTCCAAACCCGTGCCTGGCACGGCGATCACGAGTGACCTCACGCCCTAGTACTAGTAGTGACAACCTGTCTGGTTCCAGAACATGACATTGACAGTTTTGCACACAATAAACAAGTCCATGGCTGACAAAGCAACTTTGTCCTACATCACGTATACTCACGCCTGTACACAGTTGAGCATGTCCGTGGTGTTTGCATGCTTGCAGTTGCTAGGTGATGTGTGCTACTCCAAGTACATCTACGAGTCTACAACATGTCCATGCTCATGTGGTTACTATAAATGTATTCAAGCTAGACCAGATTTAGCAACACCAATATTATTCCGTTCTGCCTACCAAGGATCGACACTGACCCACGCTGCTATCTGGTGTCACGTGGTGATTGTCGCACCACTGGAAACTATGTGTCTCTGTACGTTTGCAGCCCTGATGATGTTTGCAGCGCTGGTGATGTTTCCAGCCCTGGTGATGTTTGGCACCCAGAACATTATACTAACCCTGTTGTGGTGCTCTTCGGACAGAATCTTCCTCAGCCTACTCCAGTTCACTGTTGAAGCGAGGATTCCCGGAAACATGGCGCATTTCCTGTTCTGTGCTTGAGTTTTTGTGATTTTACAGGTATTCATCCCAAGTGGTGATGGGTTTTCACCACAGTTCAACCGGCGGTCTCGAGGTCCCTTGCGTGAGGAACTCCCGCCATTTTCCTAATCAACATTCCAATTACCGCTATCTTCTGGAAGAACGCTCTCTCTCTACTCACTGTCAATCCCTTATTACACAGGATATCAGTGTGGACAGTGGCATATACCGTAAAACAGCATACATCTTACCACACTTTTTTCTTGCAATATGATGATTTCTTTTGACCTTTATGACAACCCCATTTCATTATTGCAATTTCAAATTTCATTTATTGTTATTAATGTAGAAGAGAAAAGGACATATGGATACGAGTTAAGAGTAACTCTCCATCACTGTAACATGATACTTTATACAGTCAGAAAGTGCAATAACTAGGCACAAAACTGACAGAGTACTGAAACATTCGACGTCCTGACACCTAGCTTCAACACATCTCCGTAGCGCTAACCGACAGCCTTCCAACTTGGAAGGTTCAAGGTTATGGAAAGACCAAAGAGGGGAAGGCAAGCGCAACGAAAACGAGCAAAAGCTACAGTCCCAACGGAACAAAGAATGTCGATTGTTACTGGACGATGACGAGACCAGTACGATATTTGACAAAGCGGTCTAACTACAATTCGAAGCAGCAAAGCAGCACACCACCCAACTTGGGTGGGTCATAAATATCAAAGATAAGTAAAGAAAGGGAAGCTTTGCGAAAACGAATTGTACAAGCCGAAAGCCAAACTCCTACAGTACTCCTCATGCATGACATTGTGATGGACTAGTTGAATACAAAACAAGTTGTTTCACACGACGTACGTTTCGCCGTATGGTTCGTGACGGCTCATCAGGTGTGCAATATGAAACTCGGATGTTGAGCCATAAATAAATGTAGAAGAGAAAAGGACATATGGATACGAGTTAAGAGTAACTCTCCATCACTGTAACATGATACTTTATACAGTCAGAAAGTGCAATAACTAGGCACAAAACTGACAGAGTACTGAAACATTCGACGTCCTGACACCTAGCTTCAACACATCTCCGTAGCGCTAACCGACAGCCTTCCAACTTGGAAGGTTCAAGGTTATGGAAAGACCAAAGAGGGGAAGGCAAGCGCAACGAAAACGAGCAAAAGCTACAGTCCCAACGGAACAAAGAATGTCGATTGTTACTGGACGATGACGAGACCAGTACGATATTTGACAAAGCGGTCTAACTACAATTCGAAGCAGCAAAGCAGCACACCACCCAACTTGGGTGGGTCATAAATATCAAAGATAAGTAAAGAAAGGGAAGCTTTGCGAAAACGAATTGTACAAGCCGAAAGCCAAACTCCTACAGTACTCCTCATGCATGACATTGTGATGGACTAGTTGACTACAAAACAAGTTGTTTCACACGACGTACGTTTCGCCGTATGGTTCGTGACGGCTCATCAGGTGTGCAATATGAAACTCGGATGTTGAGCCATAAATAAATGTAGAAGAGAAAAGGACATATGGATACGAGTTAAGAGTAACTCTCCATCACTGTAACATGATACTTTATACAGTCAGAAAGTGCAATAACTAGGCACAAAACTGACAGAGTACTGAAACATTCGACGTCCTGACACCTAGCTTCAACACATCTCCGTAGCGCTAACCGACAGCCTTCCAACTTGGAAGGTTCAAGGTTATGGAAAGACCAAAGATCGTACTGGTCTCGTCATCGTCCAGTAACAATCGACATTCTTTGTTCCGTTGGGACTGTAGCTTTTGCTCGTTTTCGTTGCGCTTGCCTTCCCCTCTTTGGTCTTTCCATAACCTTGAACCTTCCAAGTTGGAAGGCTGTCGGTTAGCGCTACGGAGATGTGTTGAAGCTAGGTGTCAGGACGTCGAATGTTTCAGTACTCTGTCAGTTTTGTGCCTAGTTATTGCACTTTCTGACTGTATAAAGTATCATGTTACAGTGATGGAGAGTTACTCTTAACTCGTATCCATATGTCCTTTTCTCTTCTACATTTATTTATGGCTCAACATCCGAGTTTCATATTGTTATTAACTTATTACTATTGCCAGGTCTCATTGTTGTAGTATCAATGTATGCATGCTCTTATACCATTAACTTTCCAACAAGTTTAAAAAAATGGAAACCGAGCACAGACGTGTGTATGTGTCTTTGCGTGTGTTTCGTGTTCGTGCACAAGGAAGCAAGATAGTGGGTGGGTGGCTATGACAGACAGATTATATTGAGTCACACTCTACTGTACTTTGGTCTTTGGTCTTATTATATCTATGATAGTATTGTGCGTCACAACAAGACATCTCGGATCTCATCTCGGATCTCAATGCAATACTCCTCTGTGCTTTTATAGTGCCTCAAAATCAATGGAAAAAGAAATAAAATTGAAGATAGGCTGGGGTTTGAACCCACAACTTCATAGTCCACAGACAGCAAAATAATAGAAAAAAAGGTTATGAGTTGAAGATAGGCTGGGGTTTGAACCTACAACTTCATGGTCAGCAGACAGCATGCATAACCACGAGGCCAAACAGACATACGTAAATCGCGGGTTTTGATAAAAATCGCTACTGGCGTCCTGGGCAAAGTCGAAACCATTGGAAAAGGCCGGAAACCTGGCCGAAATTCTAACTCCTTAACGGCTGGTCCAATTGTTCCGAAACCTTCACAGAAAATTTGCCGTGTCCTAACAAGCCATTCCATGTACTTTGTTGTCCAAATTTCTCTTATCTTCATACTTTTTAGGACCCAAACCTGATTGTAAATCTTTTTGAAACAGACGGTACATGTATTGGTTACAGTGAAACCTGTCTAAGACGACCACTCAAGGGACCTTCAAATTCTGGTCTCTGTTACCAGGTGGTCTGCTTATCCAGGGTCATTAGACTGGAAATAGCATCCCTTCGTTCTGGCTAAAGTGGTCTTCTGAGACAGGTGGTGGCCTTATCCGAGTGGTCGCCTTGACAGGTTTTACTGGACATGTACTTGACAATCAGTTCATGCGATAACATTGCACGACACTGGCACTATTGTTAGTTGTAGAAGGTCAGCACCGTCGGTCAGTGTCGTGCAATGTTATCCCATGAGCTGATTGTCAAGTAAATGGTGGTGTTAGTGGACATTATAGCATAACTTGCAGTCCCTTGGTCATTAAATTTCTGTAAAGTACCGCTGGATCTCCATCCGAGTCCACTGTGAATCTTACTTTGTGAACAGTTCTTCTGGAAACTGATAATTACATGAAGATTAGGACAGAGAAACGTAAAACAGCTGATGACGCCCGCATGGGTGCAAATTTGGAAGAGATCTACCTGTATTTGAAGCGGGGCAGTGAAGGACTAAACACGTTTCTGCAGTGACTACAGAACAATTGTATGATAGCCGAAATAGAAAGGCATAGAGTTCATCGTATTCATTACGAAACACAGTATTTTACACTGGCAGCATACATGTACATGTAGATGCATTTGAAACTGATTGCGGGTATTGTTGAGACGTAGAGGAACATAGATACAAAAATACATACAAGTACATGTACTCGTGCTGTTCGGTGTTGGTACGGGAAAGATAATAGAATGCTCAGGAGAAGTTTCAGTAAAGATCCAACTTGGCAAGGGGAGGCTGGTATGTATGGAATGTATAGGATAGAGTGGATGGATACAACAACACAAAATCGACGGGTTCGCGTACCGGGCAGGTCAAGAACAAGGAGTCGTACAACTCCCGGGTCAAGAACCACCTTTCCGCTTCCGTGGGACGCCACCACCCATGATCATGCGTCAAATGCGGCTCCTAAACGGCGGGGGAGGATAGAGTGGATGGATAGAAAGAAAGTTCAAACGAAGGAGTAAGCTGTAGAAGAAACAGGAAACAAGTTGAATGTAAAAAAGAAACGACAAGAAGTATACTGTACTACGGGTAGTACAAGTGCAAGTAGACCTTTCTGTACTTGTGTGCTCATATCTGCCTGTAAAAGTAGCTTCTTCAGTACACCTTTAAAAGGTTGAGTGTTCTAACTGCAAGTGTCAGCCCCAGGGCGACTACCAAACACAAGTACAAACTTCTAGATTGATACAAAGATGGTATGAGGGAGAGATAAGTTGGGGGGGGGGGGAGGCAAACCTCTACTTCTGTTGATTATTGCAAAGTTCTTCGATATGCAGAGTGGATGTGAGGGTACCTGAATCCGGGTAATAACCCAGGTAAGAAGTGGATGTAGTGCATTGTGTCTGTATGTGTGTAGAGAAGGACAGTGGACCTGAATTGTTGATATGACATATACCACTCACAACACCAGCATGCATTTGATGGCGTTCTGAAGTACTAGAGCTTCCACTTCTGATAGGGGCTGGGTCTGAACAGTCTCTGCCGTTGATACGCACTGACACCTTCACACAATGCCAGTTATTGGTCGGATGATAAAATCCAATAGAGGTTGTGTACACCACTCTGATAACAGTGTCAGGTCTAGTCTTGTTGAACACGACTCCACTGAACGGGTTTCTAGCACTACTACCAGACGTCTCCATTGTAAATGTCTTCCAGGATACAATACCGCACTGAAAATGACATAGAAGTAGAAGTAGATTACAAACATGCACATGATATGAGCGTAATATGCCCAATTTGTGGCACGCGGTGGTGATTGTTAATTAGCCAGAACAATGTTGAGTAGCCATTTTCACTGCTGTCAAACCCAGGAATAGGGTTTACTGGGCCGTCGTGAGTTCCATTAGGGAACGGACACGATAATATACTCTTTTTGTTTACTTAAACTCCCGAATAGAGACGGAGGTGAGGTAGTGCTGGGAGACAGCTAAAACAATACTTCTGAAGCTATAAGCAGTTCTACCTAAGAGATCATCAATGGACCAGACTACCAATCTCTCCCAGCCTTAGCCCATCATGAAACTGTTAAGCACAAGCCAGGCAGACTGTGTGTAGGCAGTGGAGACGTCCAGTGGAACAATTATTTACACTACAACTACCAAACTGTGACAATCTTATTGTTATCCTCTTTGATATTGTCACATATATGTACATATAGGTACAGTTTGTTGACATCTTGCCACTGCCAGTTCGTTTCCTGTTGCGCGTTCTCATTGTTTCTGTAGTTGTGTTTCACTCTTTTATCACCAGATTCATGGCATGTTTGGGTTGTAGTTCACTTGAAACAATCCTGGAACTAAGTTGGAACTGCAACACGCAGCAGTAACAACCACTAGACATTGGACAATTACAAATAAAGCTGTGGATAAAATTTCGGTTTTACCGAATATAGGCTACGACTACGACTGTGGAAAAAACTCGCAAAGAAGCATCAAGGAGAGCCCTTGTTTCACCATTCACTTGCAAAGGGCATGGTCTGCACCAGTTGACTAGGGAAAACAGTGCATGCCTTGAAAATGAATTTGTAAGAAAATGTTTTTAGTTGTTTGCTGACACCATAATTATACATATCAACAGATCATCCGATCACATGCGGGTATCATGTCTACTCTACATCTCACATTAAAAACCTGCTGCGGACCTGCAACACCCTTTGAACAAAACTCTCCCTGTCAGTACAGTCCAATTCGGGCTCTTCCATTTTCGGACTTCTTCGACTCTAATCTCTCCCTGTGAGGCCAATCACTTGAATCGATTAGACACCGAGGCCTCGTAAGTCATATCAGGGACAGTACTTTCAATAGTCTTTTTGCGAGTACTGACAAAAATTTAACTAACCTTCTGTCTTTCCTCCTGCAGAGTAGCATTGATTAATGCAATCTGCTCAACAGAATGTTGCTTCATTGACTTGAAGTGTTGCGTCGTCTGTTGGGAAATATTTAAAAAATGATCAGATAGACACTAAACCATCGGCGAGTATTTGATGATCTAACTCACGCCTGTATTTACTTGATTTATAATCAACTATTCCATTACAATCATTGGATTTCACGAGGATTACTGTAGGATACTGGCGTTAGGTTGCGTACAAGTCGTTTTCGGCAAAATTTCTATTCCGTATGTGACTTCGATATTTCTGGGGCACCTAAGAGGGGTGGTGTACTGCTTTTCTCCTTCGAATTGTAGTTTGACCACTTTGTAAAGTCTTTTACTGTTTTTGTGATTGCCCAGCAACATTCGACATTCTTTGCTACCATGGGACTTCACACGTACTCACTTTGGTTTTGCTCTCCTTCCCATCTTTCGTCTATGCAGAACATTGAACCTTCCTAGTTTGAAGGCGGTTGGTAACCACTATTAAGCATTATGCTTGATAGCCCTTTTTGCAATCCATAAACTGTTGTCACCTAGCCGCCTTTTCAAATATTTTGAACCAACAAAAGCATTATAATTATAATTATATTACCGCGATAATTCCGTAAGTGCCTCGGAGCTGAAACTCATGTGCAATGCTGAATACTCACTCTGCGGATAGAACTGTTCTGTCCTTTGTGGACTCATCAGCGCAGCAGAGAGAAATGAGGCCGAACCTGATTTCAATGAAAAATAAATTTTCCAAAGCTAGATATAAACCAGGCCCGTACGTACCTTGCCAGAGTGCTCAAACTGACAAGTCAGTTAGCTCTGCATGATGCAAACACCAAAGGCAATACCCCACATGAGAGTGCTCAACTGCTTCAAGAGCAGGAGCGAAATACTGAAACTGCGGGCAGAACTGTTTCGTACTTTGTGGACTCATCAGCGCAGCACAGAGAAAATGAGGCCGAACCTCGCCTGGCCTGGCAGAACTATAATGCGGGATATGATGCGGCATTATCCGTTGCATTATTTGAGTTTTAACTAAAATAATGCCAAGGTCTTTCATGTAAGAAAAGTGCTGGCTCTCCACACCAGAGCTCGCCCCTTTCCACCTACTTGACCTTAATATAATATTATTCAGTTATTTGTCAGCCTAGTCACCTCTCCTGATAACAGGATAGTTCAGCATGTGTCCAGTCGTGTAACTTGTGTTTGAACATTGCGATTTCCCTTTCCCCGGTTGGGCGGTGTTTTTGAAATAAAAAACAACAACACGAGTATATTCCTCACTTTCTTGTCTTGAGCTTGAAGGGATGAATTCAGTGACGTGATATCGTCCTCAATTGACAGAAATTGCATGGTGTTCTGCGATGAGAAGAACAATAGATATTCTAAAAATCCGGCGTACAGACCAGAATTGTGGTCAGGCTAGAAAGAGTGTGCGCACAGTCATATCATGACATGTATTGATGTTGAAGTTGAAGACACCACTGCAGCTGTACTTATGGTTGATAAATATGGTGGTAAAGACACACCTGGCAATATGGCGGTAAACACACGCCTGCCCACACACGCTCTGTAGGCTGCAAAGTTCTGGCACAGAGCTCTCCTTCTCACCACCACCACCATCAGTTCGCGCCTGGCGCCTGGTCGATGCATGGCTGGCGGTATCCGGCATAGCAGGCTGGTACATCAAGTAGCGCATGGCACATAGATGATGACACAGCAACGACATAGCTCGATTGCGACGTACGTTTCGTCCCCACTGGACTCATCAGGCAATCTTTTTCTTTACCGCCATATTGCCAGGTGTGTCTTTACCACCATATTTATCAACCATAAGTACAGCTGCAGTGGTGTCTTCAACTTCATTCTCCCGAGTCAAGCTCCGTATGAAGACATCCAAGAAGAAGATTGCCTGATGAGTCCAGCGTGGACGAAACGTACGTCGCAATCGAGCTATGTCGTTGCTGTGTCATCATCTATGTGCCATGCGCTACTTGATGTACCAGCCTGCTATGGCGGATACCACCAGCCATGCATCGACCAGGCGCCAGGCGCGAACTGATGGTGGTGGTGGTGAGAAGGAGAGCTCTGTGCCAGAACTTTGCAGCCTACAGAGCGTGTGTGGGCAGGCGTGTGTTTACCGCCGTATTGCCAGGTGTGTCTTTACCACCATATTTATGAACTGCGTTGATGTTCTATTATCATAGTATTACTGCCTGCACACTCTTTCTAGCAGTACATATTCTGTAAGCTATGGTGGTCAATCCTTGCAAATGTGCTAGGAAAAATGTCGAATCCAACAACACTTTCCTTCTGTGCGTGCTGAACGGTTACATTATGATACCAGTGAAATACTTCATTTTGGTGCGCTTACCCTTTGCCCTTCTTCCTGCAGAGTGGCGTTGATTGATTCAAACTGCTGAGTAGAATGTTGCTGGATTTCCCTGAAGTGCTGTTTGGTCTGTAGACAGAATTGAATTAAGATCAAATGAACTCACTTTCCCATGGGCCTGCATTTCATAACCAAACATATGCAGACCTTAAAATGTCTGTTTTGAACATCTATGGTCCAAATGAAGCCAAAACAAATATGCGTTTGCTTAGACACTACGGGAAGTTGAGGCATTTTTGTACTTTATATTCGATCATTCTATGGTTGGTCATTATGATCACCTATGATCGCCGCTCAATAATACATCTGCAATAATATTGCTGCGTTGCATAGAGCCACTTGGATTGGAATTCTTGGAGCAGTGTTTTTGATAGCAGTTTTCCTTACCTTCTTCTCCTGTGCATGCTGAGATAAGTTCAATGACGTCATTGCCTCCTTAATGGATAGTAGTTTAACCTTGTTCTGCAAATACAGCACAAACCAATATCCTGTGTGAAAGCAGCCAAAACAGTACTGCTACATATAGCTGTAGAGTGTCAGAAAAATTGTTGATTGCGATCAGATGTTTTCAAAAAACCAAACGAGAAAGCCACAAGAGATTTTCACCTGAATTTCCATTTGATCCACCTTCGTCTTCTGCTGGACAAATATGGTTGTCAGTACTTTCATGTCGGAGAGTAGTTTATTGATTTGGAGATCCCTTGCTTCAGTTTCTCTTCCAGCTGCTTGTTGTAGGTTTTAACCGCTTCGATTTGGTAGCAAAGCTCGCTGTTTGCAGATGATCCGCACACATCAACTAGAACAGGTAAAAGCAGAGCAAAATCCACCAAGAATATCAACTGTTATCTCGGGTCCGTCCGTAATTATCCATCACTGCTACCAAACGAAACACATTGCATTTAGGCGTGTGTGGGACTGCTGTGTCCTTTTGCGCGTACCATTAGGAATCAACTGAATTTTTAGTCCGATTGAAAGGGATACGGCATGCAGCTTTAAAAGCATCTAAAAGTGATATTGGCATGTCTATGGAGCTGGAAACGACCACATTGCTGAGGTCAGACATTTCCAATGAGCCTTATATCTAGGAGGTCCATCTTGTAGGTATGGAACATGGGGTTCGAAATCTGTTCCATGAGGTGATTGCAGAGTTTTAAAGGAGGTTTAGTGCGTTGAAAACCCAGCCGCCCTGGGGAAACGTGTCGCAGCCTTTCAGCAGTTACCTCGGAAATCTCGGTTACATTTCCTTCAAGCACATTAGGCACATGTCTACTCACATATAGTACAGTTCAAGGATTTGACGATGCTCAGAGGGGAACAGAATGAAATCTGAAGATGATTGATGGTAGATGCTTCCTGTCGCGAATACTCATGACTATGTTTTTCTTATTGAACGAAAGTTCACTATAAAACCAGGGGGAGGGGAGGAGGAGGGGAAATGAATAATAGTGAGGAACGAGGACAATGGTTAGATAGTAGTGAGAGAGGCAGAGTGAAAGATAACATCACATTGTGGTAAGGAAGGAGGGAGGGTGGTAGTGAGGCGCTGGCCTAAACCATTTCATAGGGCGTCGGTGGCTGTTTGCCAGTTCGGGTGCAGCAGATACTTGTTGCACTTTCCTTGAAGGAATGAAGCTGTCTGGGTTGTGGCCGTGCTGGTAGAGTGGTTGTTGGTGGGCTGTTCCACAAGGGGATATTGCAGTCTGGGTAGAAACCCTGGAGGCTGCTACGAGTGCGCATGGGCAACGGTGACTTGAGCTGGAGCGGGTGGCAGCGGGCAGTCTCCGTGGCTAACCTAGTGGATCGACCACCCACTGGGCGAGGGTTTGCTGGAGGTGGGAGGATAGGTTTCAGGGGGTTTGTTGTTAGAAGGTAGGACAGGTGGAAGGTGATCGAAAGCGGAGCAACCAGTCGTCGGTGTTTCAGGATGGGGAGCCCGTCGCCTGGGCCAATATCCTTAGTATCTCTGTAGTCTATTCATGAATATTGAACTGTCTTCTGCGTTTCAGTCCATTTTCGACTCCAAAACACACTGTACGCCTGCGGTTTCCTAGACGTGTCACCCTATACTGCATTCAACACCATCTATAGTGAGACACTTACCTTGGCAGTTAGTACCATCTCCCTTGTACCCAGATTGACAGTAACAAGAGTATGATCCAACAGTGTTATTACACATTGCATGTTCATTACACTCATGAACACCAGCTGTACATTCATCTAGATCTGGACAGAGAAAGTGAATGAAGGGAAAAGTCCGGGTATTCAACCAGTGCAATATACACATGACCATGCTGGGAGAAAGCATGTGGTCGTAAAAACTGCTATTATTAGCCACCGTTCAGTTTCGGCAGCAGGAGATACATTTAAATCCTATTCGGACGAATAAGAAAAAGGCGACGTGGAGACAATAATTTATTTATTTATTGATTTATTACAACATCTCAAGACTCGGTGGAAACACCGGCCAATGTTAAGAGAGTGGGTGATTGCCAACCACGGCGATAAATAACAATAAGGGGAGGGAAAAAGAAAGAGTAGCAAAATGAACAGCAACAACAACTCCGTAAATAATCTTAATAATGCAATGAATATAACTAAATGCCCACTCATATCACAACCATGGGGACGAATAATATATTACAGAACGTTTTCTTGTCACAATTATCAATGGAATTCGTGACTAAAGAGAATGATGAAACTACAATAGGATTTATACACTTGGAGTGAAACAGCGAGGATACAGGCATAGTAAGAAAAATAGCACAAACCTAGGAACAATTTGCAAGGTAATAAAAACTATAGGTGAGGTGAGAAATGATAGGAAATTCACCAAGTCCAGTGTGACAATGGACATGCATGTGCAAGTGTGTGTGAGTACGAATTTACTGGAATAGCGTAAGTGCGGTGACATTTTCTTTTTGTTTACAAAGATTTGGATCACGAATACGAATGTAGACTGCTTCTAGAATTTCAACTGCTTGAAACTACTTGCAGAACGAACAACACTGAACCAAGAATCATCATAACTTTCACGACACACGGGGTTAGACAACAAGTGCAATTTAATTGCCGATGTATTCTTCTTCTTCTCACCGCCTCCACCTTCACTGGGTCTCTGACCGCTCTGCACTTGCTGAATTTCCTATCAGACCCATCATACTGCTGCTACACTTCAACTGAACGCAGAAATATTTTGAATTACTCACACAATGTACTGTTTCACTGGTACTAGCCACATTGCAATTACTACAGCAAACTAGCACAAACTGACAACCGCCATTAATAATTTTTCGACATCATTAAGAAAAGAATTTTCATCTGAAGAGTGAATAGCAACTAAATTGAGCGGTTTTCAGTTGAAAACCCCCTTTTATTTCCAATGCAGTAGCGTGATGTCCACCACTTTCTGAACTAACTAACACAAGTTTCTCCAAATGTTTAGCTTCATTTGCTCTCTCTATCTCTTTCTCTCTATATAATAATAATAATAACGACAATAATATTTTGGACCAAAAACTCTCCGTATGTATCCCAGTTTATTGCGGAGCCCGACAACAGTCTTGCTTTCAAAGGCTTTTGTTACAGTAGACAATGCTCAGTTATCATAGAGGAAAACTGGAGCAGTTGAATGGGATTCAACGGGACTGCAGGGTATGACATTCCATGACGCAGTAGGAAATACGAAGTTTGCTTCAATGTTGCCAGGACAAGTATGAATGAGGCTGGCTCCAATTTTAGTCATAACACGCCCCGCGATGTGCCTTTCCTTGGCCTCATTGCCGGATGTGCCCCGTGAGTGGTTGTTATACTGAATTTGACTTCGATAACATATACTTGAACATGCTCTGAGCTAACTCACCATTACAGACTCGTCCGTCGCCTTTGAATCCTGGTTTACACTGACAAACAAATGCGCCATGAACATTATAGCAAGTTGCCACGGCCGGTTGATCACAGTTGTTCAAGTCTGGTTGACTACACTCATCTATGTCTGCACGTACATGGAGTATGCACAAATACAAATAGAAAGATTTACACACAAGCTGAGTTAATAATTACTTGCAAAACGTCCTCGATCCAGCAAGGACAAAGGGCAGATGACACAAGATAGCAATGGAGCAAGGCTATAATATATATTTGCTGCTCCTATGAGTTTTATGGTTATTCGCCCATCTCCAGCTGTACTAACTGACTTGTGAACAAACAAACAAAATGATCACTCAAATCTGTTATTCAAAAGTTTCAAAGGCTTATTGATTACTTCATAATTTTGTATAATAATTGATGGTTGCTAGTAGTCTCCAATGCAGAGATGTTGTTCTGATGCAAAGATGGAATTTGTTTGTGTGTTGCTGTGTATATGAACGTAATCCTGCATGACACTTACCTGAATCACACCTCCTTCCAGTCAGTCCTGCCGGACAAACACAAACTGCTGATTGTCGTGTAGTGTTATACACACATTCTCCGTCAATTGAGCAAGGTAGACGCCTTGTTAAATCAGCTGTGGGGCACGACGGTCGTCGACCTGGATACAATTTGAACGAGGGCAGCAAAGACGTCAGGAAAGGAAAAAAAGCAAATTGTTGGCCAATTCCAAATTGATTGAACTGAAATACTGTACCTGGGCGAAGTCACAATGTTCCCCTGGTTCCGGGGCTGGTTTTCATTGTGATATCCTGAAAATGTTCCATGAATTAGTTCTGATGTCTTCAGTCATAATAATATATCCTCTAATAATTCGCTCCTTCTCTTGTAGTAGTTGAGCAATCTCATGTGGGTAGTGCCTTGCTGTTTGCATTATGCAGAGCTTACTGACTTGTCAGTTTGAGCACTCTGGCAAGGTACGGTCGGGCCTGATTAAAATCTGGATTTGGAAATGTTATTTTCATTGCTATCAGGTTAGGCCTCATTTTCTCTGTGCTGCGCTGATGAGTTCACAAAGTACGAAACAGCATTCTGTCCGCAGATTGAGTAACTATGGCAACAGCATGCTGTCCGCGGATGGAATATCCTCTACTAAGATGTGGCTTTCCCCATTACAACATAACTCATCGACATGCAATCTTGGGAGTGTGAAAATTAGGGGTGAAACAATAGTACCGAATACTCGAGTACTCGCTCGGTTTTTTCAAACATAATCGTACTCAGAATAAATCAGAGTACTTGTTCATACATGGTGCCTGCATTGACAGCAGAAATGTGCAGGTTCAGAGCAGCAATCAGTAAATATTGATGTGCAGACTGTGTGGTGAACATTTGTACACGAGTAGAGAGAGCCCAAATGACCCAACAATCGATTTGCGAGAGAAAAAGACTGCTAATCGGTTCAATCAGGGTTGTATCATTATGATGTTTAAGGCCCTTGGAATGCAATTTGGGAGATGAAGAATACTCGAATATTCAGTTATCGAAAACAATTAAAGTACTCGAAATCAGGATCTCAGGGCAAACTTTCACCCCTAGTAAAACATTTTCTAGCAGCAAGCGGTTACTCTCACAATCCCTTTGTACATGTGCCTGGTTCCTATGGATACAGTCATGGTTGTTAAAGGTCTGGCTTAGCTGGATGGTGGATCAGTTAACACGTGTTGCATGGCAAATGATACAGAAACATTTTTGCTTGATGTGATGTTGGTTTCTTAGCAGCTGAACTCAAGAAAAAACCTCCTACTTGGATCATTTTGTGTGTAGTCGAGCATTGCTGCTAGTGAACGCCGGGAAAATATATGTAAACTAATATTGAGGCCAGCATGCGGGGAACTTAAGTCGCAATGCCGGCAAACGCTAGTTGAGGTTTTAAAATAAGTATGCTCAAAAGGTATAATTATGGGCTGCTTCATATTCCTAATGAAGCTAAAGCGACTTAAACACTGGTAACCAATTATGGACTCACAAGTTTAAAAGCTATCAGCTATCAGCCATCAGCTTCCAGCCGAGTCTCACGCGAACCATGACATTTTTTAAAGTAAAAAGCAAACCCCACATAAACTACGTCCCTTTGTTGGAGATCATCTGAAAATTGATGCAATTAGTACCCATGTTGCGAGTTGCATCTCAGCTCTTTATTTCAATCTTCCCAGAACTGGAAACCACATGGGTATGATCCGAAACCCTGGCTCCACCACATCTAACACTGCGTGTCACGTTACGGTCAACCTCGGCAATCATTAGAAAAAGTCTTGATTCGAGCAGAATCAATTTCTAGGAAAATATGCAGGGCAAACTGGAGAGGTTGCGCACAACGGTGCTGCGAAAATGCGTCCAAACGCGACGAATATTCGTTAGCTTTTTTCGTTACGGCGCTACGAAATTTCGTTGTGCGCAGCCTCTCTAATGAAACAAATCATACCACATTTTCTGGGGAGGACAGCGACAGCAGACTTTCTCCACTGACGGGAGAAACCTAAGATCGTGCAGAAATAACAAGGTCTACTTACGGATGCAGTGTTTGAGGTCTGCTGCAAGCTGCGGAGCGTATCCCAAGAGGAGACTTAAGAAGAATTGCTCTTGGTGCTTGACAACCTTCTCATCTAACATTGCTTGAATGGCAGCTGGTGTGTTGGGAATGGTGACAGCTCTTGCACGACTGGAGTTGGCAATCAGTAGCCATTCCGTCATGCAGCTGGTGTCTTCAGTGACCATCGTAGCTGGTGTATCTATTGACAGAGCGACAAAATATTGGAAAATCGAAATTGAAGATCAGAAATTTGCAAATTACATGTAGGTGGGCACAGCCACAATCAAGAATTAGTGCATTGTGACGTCACGGCTATGTCTTCACACTCTAGGGCTAAGCGTGGAGTTTTCTCTAATCCAAAAATGGTGTGCAGTCATCTCTCATCCTTCTACGAGACTACGGTAGTATAATCAATACTTCAAGTATAGGCATATCCGGGTGCAATACCGGTATGCCGCGTCTACAGATTAGTTTAGGCAAAATGGCTTCAATGAAAGGAGAGAGGAGAGAAAGAAACGGGAGTAGCGGATCAAAGGTCAAGACTTTACAAAAGATTTTTGCCAAGTACTAGTATCCGTGCATTGCTAGGATATCACCAAGATTGAACCATCTAAGACAGGAATGTCAGTCCTACTTGGAGTTTAATGGTGAGCTATCACCAAGATTCCGGACACAAACACATTAAAGCCAAGTATACTGTATTGATTTCAGAAGTAATGGTACGAAAGGCTTCATCCGATCTACAACTTTGTCTCTTCGTGCGCTAATATGTTTCCCTCATGTTGCGTTGTGATGTCTGAGGCATTCATACTCTCTTAGCTCTTATAAAACTATTGTATCTATGTAGATTGAGTGAGCTATCATCAATATAACTCCTGTTCCAGTGCCTGTCAGACTTCTCCCCTCACCTCTAACGCCAGGTGCTGCACCTGCCGCTGGATTGTTCGGGTGCTTGGGGCCATCGTGAGTTCCATTCAGGAATGGACACGATGATAATTTATTTACCTTTACTTAATTAATTTGTTATCATCAAGATGATGTTCTGTCTTCATGAAACCCATACCTGGTAGTTGTATCCGACTATGCTGACTACAGCGTTAAGGTTCTCCAGCCCGGACAGTGAGAACTGTTTTTCAAAGTGAAAGTCGTCAACTGTGCATCCAGCATTGTTATGTATTATTACCATGTTTACAATCCCAGGTGAGAAATATCTTCTTCCCATTTGGCTTGGCAAATTCATAATGTCAGCTCTAGGCATATGCGGATAATGCCGGCCGAAAAATTGGCAGAATTCGGTACTTTTTCTGGTACGTTTCATGCATGTCTGGTATATGGATAAAGAAATGGAGCAGAATTCGAGGAATTTCCCGCCATACGGTTTGTATGGTTCTGCCAATTTCACTGCTTTTCGAGCAGAATCTGCCACCTTTTCGAGCATTATCCGCACACCTCTAGTCAGCTCGTCAAAATGGCAATAATAATTTCAAATTTTACATGTTTTGATCAATATTTATGCACTTTAGAAAAATGTGGATACAAGGTATTCTCTCGAGTCCACCAGCTAAAACAGATTCTGAACAGTCAGACGTGCATAATCTAGAAGCATTTTTGGCAAACGACTTTTTCGATCATTCAGTCCACATTTGAGTTTGGCAGCACTGCATATATTCATTGCTTATCACAAACCCCATTATGACAAGCTTCTTACTGCTAGCCGCGTAGCATTAAAGAGAATATTTTCGTTGGATAGAATGACTCCCACCACTCTTCTATACAGTCATACTAACTTGTACGCCCTTGAGAAACGCCGCAACTTCAAAACCTATGTATTTGTTTACCGCTGCCTGAATGGACTTGCTAGTCCTCTTCTGCGAGACCGCTTTACCTTGCGCGCCCATAGTGCTCGCACTGCAGCCACCACCCGTGGCCAAGTCTCTGCTGCTCTATTTCTGCCCCCCGCTAACACCCGATATGGCTTTAGTGCAATTTCTTATTTGGGCGCTGCCAGGTGGAATACACTTCCACCGGCTTGCCGCATGTCTAGTTCACCAGCTGAATTTCGCTCATCCATCAAATTATACCTAGGGTTCCCTGTAAAAAGGCGCTGACGCCTGTAGGGAATAGCCTAGTAAAAGAAGAATAAATAATAATATATAATAATAGAACAAAAGCACGTTGGATTGCTCTTTACTTGGCTCACAATCTGAGTACCATTACTTGTACAAATTATGTACTTTTGATGATAATTGGGGAATTTTCGCGAAGATTACGCCTGTTGCCTGGTTACATCTTTCATTTTCGGGAAATTAAACAACTCCAAACACCTTCACCACGCACTCGCTTCTGAATAGGACGAAATTAATGATAACTTTTCAATTCAAACCCTTCTTTTTGCATCCATTTTTTCCCAAAGGCTTATTGTCAATTTTTGCGAAAGGTGAAACGATATCCACGTGAACTAGTGGTGGATCTGTATGCATTTGCAATATACAAAAGCGAGAATTCCCAAAATTCCTAGAGTGCTCAGCAGCACAAGGATAGCGCAATACCACAAAGGCAGACGAGAACATAGACAAGAGTCCAGATCAGTGTTGGAAAGCTGCGTTTCATTCCTACATGTATGGTACGGCTAAGGTAAACCTCAGAGAACTGACTCAGTTGTCTGAGGTTTACCTTAGCCTTGCTATGTACATGAAACGCAGCGTTTCAACGATGATCTAACTGGTATGCTCTGTTGTCTTGTACAATCTACAATGTACACTGTACATGCATTACTTTCTTGCATGCACTTAGTCGCTGGCTGCTTTGACAAGTTCCTGTCATACAGCTGTCAACAGACCAGCCCTGTGCACTAGTGCATTCAGCAGGGGATGCATGACGTTATCAGTTTATGCTTTGGCTCAGAGACCATACAGTACTGGTAGTGAGTTTTACGCTACAGTGCTGGTGCAGGTATGTACCTGTACATGTACACAATACAATGGAGACAAAATGCTGTGCAGCTGTAACTTCATGTTAGTCTTGGCCATCATCACACAGCAGCACTTGGATGCATGCCGAATGCTGCTGTATGATAATCAATGAAATGAAATTGGACTTTACAGCCACACCGGCTTCCGCCTCCATTGTATGTTAATACTGATCTACCAATTAGTTAAAATGGGTTTATCGGGTGTTAGCGGCCGTCGTGAGTTCCCTTCGGGAACGGATACGATAATATTTTTTTTTTTTTTTACCAATTAGTTCATAGAGCAGTCAGATTTAAGCTGCCCTGACGAGTCTGAATGTTTATTTACTCCTTTAAAATTGTTTCTGGCCAGTTATAACAAAATTGAATTGAGTTTCATGCACATCACACCGCTGATTGCCATAAACGTCAACACACACAAGATAACAATGTACATGTACGTCGTCTACAACGTACGTGGTGTTTGACTGTTATCAAACTTCTTACCGCCATCATCCGGCACCACTGGTGTTGGTGTGGCCATAGCCTGTCCACAGTTCACCGTCATCACCAGCAGCAGCAGCAGCAATGGAGCCAGATACAGTAGTAGGTATGCCATGATACTGCCTAGCTGTAGGCTGCGCATAGCTACACCTGACACCAGAGGGTAGTTCGCAGTATCACTATCAGACTACTGGGTTAGCTATCGGACTCGAGAACACCTGATGATCAACTGGAGAGGAATTGGTTGAGAAACAAGAATTGTGGGCCAGTCAACGTTTTTAGCACCTAATATTCTAACTCACTGCCGCTCATGTACATACGTTGAGCGGAGTACAGCTTGAATATGTACATTGCGGCCTTGACGGCTCCAAATCCGTGGCTGGAACGGCGATCGCGAGTAACCTCACGCCCTAGTAGTGACAACCTGTCTGGTTCCAGAACATGACACTGACAGTTTTGCACACAATAAACCAGTCCATGGCTGACAACGCAACTTTGTCCTACATCACGTATACTCACGCCTGTACACAGTTGAGCATGTCCGTGGTGTTTGCATGCTTGCAGTTGCTAGGTGATGTGTGCTACTCCAAGTACATCTACGAGTCTACAACATGTCCATGCTCATGTGGTTACTATAAATGTATTCAAGCAAGACCAAATTTAGCAACACCAATATTATTCCGTTCTACCTACCAAGGATCGACACTGACCCACGCTGCTATCTGGTGTCACGTGGTGATTGTCGCACCACTGGAAACTGAGTGTCTCTGTACGTTTGCAGCCCTGATGATGTTTGCAGCGCTGGTGATGTTTCCAGCCCTGGTGATGTTTGGCACCCAGAACATTATACTAACCCTGTTGTGGTGCTCTTCGGACAGAATCTTCCTCAGCCTACTCCAGTTCACTGTTGAAGCGAGGATTCCCGGAAACATGGCGCATTTCCTGTTCTGTGCTTGAGTTTTTGTGATTTTACAGGTATTCATCCCAAGTGGTGATGGGTTTTCACCACAGTTCAACCGGCGGTCTCGAGGTCCCTTGCGTGAGGAACTCCCGCCATTTTCCTAATCAACATTCCAATTACCGCTATCTTCTGGAAGAACGCTCTCTCTCTACTCACTGTCAATCCCTTATTACACAGGATATCAGTGTGGACAGTGGCATATACCGTAAAACAGCATACATCTTACCACACTTTTTTCTTGCAATATGATGATTTCTTTTGACCTTTATGACAACCCCATTTCATTATTGCAATTTCAAATTTCATTATTGTTAACTTATTACTATTGCCAGGTCTCATTGTTGTAGTATCAATGTATGCATGCTCTTATACCATTAACTTTCCAACAAGTTTAAAAAAATGGAAACCGAGCACAGACGTGTGTATGTGTCTTTGCGTGTGTTTCGTGTTCGTGCACAAGGAAGCAAGATAGTGGGTGGGTGGCTATGACAGACAGATTATATTGAGTCACACTCTACTGTACTTTGGTCTTTGGTCTTATTATATCTATGATAGTATTGTGCGTCACAACAAGACATCTCGGATCTCATCTCGGATCTCAATGCAATACTCCTCTGTGCTTTTATAGTGCCACAAAATCAATGGAAAAAGAAATAAAATTGAAGATAGGCTGGGGTTTGAACCCACAACTTCATAGTCCACAGACAGCAAAATAATAGAAAAAAGGTTATGAGTTGAAGATAGGCTGGGGTTTGAACCTACAACTTCATGGTTAGCAGACAGCATGCATAACCACGAGGCCAAACAGACATACGTAAATCGCGGGTTTTTGATAAAAATCGCTACTGGCGTCCTGGGCAAAGTCGAAACCATTGGGAAAGGCCGGAAACCTGGCCGAAATTCTAACTCCTTAACGGCTGGTCCAATTGTTCCGAAACCTTCACAGAAAAATTTGCCGTGTCCTAACAAGCCATTCCATGTACTTTGTTGTCCAAATTTCTCTTATCTTCATACTTTTTAGGACCCAAACCTGATTGTAAATCTTTTTGAAACAGACGGTACATGTATTGGTTACAGGGAAACCTGTCTAAGACGACCACTCAAGGGACCTTCAAATTCTGGTCTCTGTTACCAGGTGGTCTGCTTATCCAGGGTCATTAGACTGGAAATAGCATCCCTTGGTTCTGGCTAAAGTGGTCTTCTGAGACAGGTGGTGGCCTTATCCGAGTGGTCGCCTTGACAGGTTTTACTGGACATGTACTTGACAATCAGTTCATGCGATAACATAGCACGACACTAACACTATTGTTAGTTGTAGAAGGTCAGCACCGTCGGTCAGTGTCGTGCAATGTTATCGCATGAGCTGATTGTCAAGTAACTGGTGGTGTTAGTAGACATTATAGCATAACTTGCAGTTCCTTGGTCATTAAATTTCTGTAAAGCATCGCTGGATCTCCATCCGAGTCCACTGTGAATCTTACTTTGTAAACAGTTCTTCTGGAAACTGAAAATTACATGAAGATTAGGACAGAGAAACGTAAAACAGCTGATGACGCCCGCATGGGTGCATATTTGGAAGAGATCTACATGTATTTGAAATGGGGCAGTGAAGGACTAAACACGTTTCTACAGTGACTACAGAACAATAATTGTATGATAGCCGAAATAGAAAGGCATAGAGTTCATCGTATTCATTACGAAATACGGTATTTCACACTGGCAGCATACATGTACATGTAGATGCATTTGAAACTGATTGCAGGTATTGTCGAGACGTAGAGGAACATATATACAAAAATGCATACAAGTACATGTACTCGTGCTGTTCGGTGTTGGTACGGGAAAGATAATAGAATGAACAGGAGAAGTTTCAGTAAAGATCCAACTTGGCAAGTGGAGGCTGGTTAGAATGGATAGGATAGAGTGGATGGATACAAAAAAATTCGACGGGTTCACGTACCGGGCAGGTCAAGAACAAGGAGTCGTACAACTCCCGGGTCAAGAACCACCTTTCCGCTTCCGTGGGACGCCACCACCCCATGATCAGGCGTCACATGCGCCTCCTAAACTGTGGGGGAGGATAGAGTGGATGGATAGAAAGAAAGTTCAAACGATGGAGTAAGCTGTAGAAGAAACAGGAAACAAGTTGAGTGTTAAAAAGAAAAGACAAAGAGTATACTGTACTAGTACAAGTAATAGATCTTTTCTGTACTTGTGTGCTCATATCTGCCTGTAAAAGTAGCTTCTTCAGTACACCTTTAAAAAGTTGAGTGTTCTAACGCCGTGTTTCCAGCTCCAGGGTGACTACCAAAGACAAGTACAAACTTCTAGATTGATACAAAGATGGTAAGAGGGAGAGATAAGATAGCGGTCAGGGCATGGGGATGCAAACACCTAGTTCTGTTGGTTATTGCAAAGTTCTTCGATATGCAGAGTGGATGTGATGGTACCTGTACCATAGTAGTAACCCAGGTAAGAGTTGGTTGTAGTGCATTGTGCATCTATGTGTGTAGAGAAGGACAGCGGACCTGAAGTGTTGATATTGCAAATACCACTCACAACACCAGCATGTGCCTGATAGTGGGCTGTTGAGCCAAAGCTTCCACTTCTGATCGGGGCTGGGTCTGAACAGTCTCTGCCGTTGATACGCACTGACACCTTCACACAATGCGCTGCATTGTTCCCATGCTGAAATCCAATAGAGGTTGTGTACACCACTCTGATAACAGTGTCAGGTCTAGTCTTGTTGAACACGACTCCACTGAACGGGTTTATAGCACTACTCGATGTCTCCATTGTAAATGTCTTCCATGATACAATACCGCACTGAAAATGACATACATGTAGAAGTAGATTACAAACATGCACATGATATGAGCATAATTTACCCAATTTGTGGCACGCGGTAGTGATTGTTAATTAGCCAGTACGATGTTGAGTAGCCATTTTCACTGCTGTCAAACCCAGGAATAGGGTGTACTGGGCCGTCGTGAGTTCCATTAGGAAACGGACACGATAATATACTCTTTTTGTTTACTTAAACTCCGGAATAGAGAGAGAGGTGAGGTACTGCTGGGAGACAGCTAAAACACTTCTGAAGTAATAAGTAGTTATACCTAAGAGAGTATCAATGGACCAGACTACCAATCTCTCCCGGCCTTAGCCCATCATGAAACTGTTAAGCACAAGCCAGGCAGACTGTGTGTAGGCAGTGGAGACGTCCAGTGGAACAGTTTACACAACAACTGCCAAACTGTCACAATCTTATCGTTATCCTCTTTGATATTGTCACATAATATATGTACATATAGGTACAGTTTGTTGACATCTTGCTACTGCCAGTTCGTTTCCTGTTGCGCGTTCTCATCGCTTCTGTAGTTGTGGTTCATTCTTCTCTAACCTGATTCATGACATGTTTGGGTTGTCGTTCACTTGAACCAATCCTGGAACTAAGTTGGAACTACTACACGTAGCAGTAAAAACAACTAGACATTGTACAATTACAAATAAAGCTGTGGAAAAAATTGTGGTTTTACCGAATATAGGCTTTCTTACGACTGTGAAAAAAACTCGCAAAGCAGCACCAAGGAGAGCCCTCGTTTCAACATTCACTTGCAAAGGGCATGCTCTGCACCAGTTGACTAGGGAAAACAGGGCATGCCTTCAAAATGAATTTGTAAGAAAATGTTTTTAAGTTGTTTGCTGACACCATAATTATACATATCAACAGATCATCCGATCACATGCGGGTATCATGTCTACTCTACATCTCACATTAAAAAACCTGCTGCGGACCTGCAACAGCCTTTGAATAAAACTCTCCCTGTCAGTACAGTCCAATTCGGGCTCTTCCATTTTCGGACTTCTTCGACTCTAATCTCTCCCTGTGAGGCTAATCACTTGAATCGATTAGACACCGATGCCTCGTAAGTCATATCAGGGACAGTACGTTCAATAGTCTTATTGCGAGTACTGACAAAAATTTAACTAACCTTCTGTCTTTCCTCCTGCAGAGTAGCATTGATTAATGCAATCTGCTCAACAGAATGTTGCTTCATTGACTTGAAGTGTTGCGTTGTCTGTTGGGAAATATTTAAAAAATGATCAGATAGACACTAAACCATCGGCGAGTATTTGATGATCTAACTCAAGCAAGTATTTACTTGATTTACAGTCAACTATTCCATTACAATCATTGTATTTCACGAGGATTACTATAGGATACTGGCGTTAGGTTGCGTACAAGTCGTTTTCGGCAAAGCTTCTATTCCGTATGTGACTTCGATATTTCTGGGGCACCTAAGAGGGGTGGTGTACTGCTTTTCTCCTTCGAATTGTAGTTTGACCACTTTGTAAAGTCGTTTACTGTTTTTGTGATTGCCCAGCAACATTCGACATTCTTTGCTACCATGGGACTTCACACGTACTCACTTTGGTTTTGCTCTCCTTCCCATCTTTCGTCTATGCAGAACATTGAACCTTCCTAGTTTGAAGGCGGTTGGTAACCACTATTAAGCATTATGCTTGATAGCCCTTTTTGCAATCCATAAACTGTTGTCACCTAGCCGCCTTTTCAAATATTTTGAACCAACAAAAGCATTATAATTATAATTATATTACCGCGATAATTCCGTAAGTGCCTCGGAGCTGAAACTCATGTGCAATGCTGAATACTCACTCTGCGGATAGAACTGTTCTGTCCTTTGTGGACTCATCAGCGCAGCAGAGAGAAATGAGGCCGAACCTGATTTCAATGAAAAATAAATTTTCCAAAGCTAGATATAAACCAGGCCCGTACGTACCTTGCCAGAGTGTTCAAACTGACAAGTCAGTTAGCTCTGCATGATGCAAACACCAAAGGCAATACCCCACATGAGAGTGCTCAACTGCTTCAAGAGCAGGAGCGAAATACTGAAACTGCGGGCAGAACTGTTTCGTACTTTGTGGACTCATCAGCGCAGCACAGAGAAAATGAGGCCGAACCTCGCCTGGCCTGGCAGAACTATAATGCGGGATATGATGCGGCATTATCCGCTGGCCCTAGTAGTTGCATTATTTGAGTTTTAACTAAAATAATGCCAAGGTCTTTCATGTAAGAAAAGTGCTGGCTCTCCACACCAGAGCTCGCCCCTTTCCACCTACTTGACCTTAATATAATATTATTCAGTTATTTGTCAGCCTAGTCACCTCTCCTGATAACAGGATAGTTCAGCATGTGTCCAGTCGTGTTTAGGGTCCGGCGGATTCTGCCGGCAGAAAAATTGGCAGAATTCGGTACTTTTTCTGGTAAGTTTTATGCATGTTTGGTATGTGGATAAAAAAATGGAGCAGAATTCGAGGAATTGCCCGCCATAAGGTTTGTATGGTTCTGCCAATTTCACTGCTTTTCGAGCAGAATCTGCCACCTTTCGAGCAGAATCCGCCGGTCCCTAGTTGTGTTTGAAAATTTGCGATTTCCCTTTCCCCGGTTGGGCGGTGTTTTTGAAATAAAAAACAACAACACGAGTATATTCCTCACTTTCTTGTCTTGAGCTTGAAGGGATGAATTAAGTGACGTCATATCGTCCTCAATTGACAGAAATTGCATTGTGTTCTGCGATGAGAAGAACAATAGATATTCTAAAAATCCGGCGTACAGACCATACCCCGGTGCGGCGTATACCCCGGAAAATACGGTAGCCATTTTCACTGCTGTCAAACCCAGGTATAGGAGGGTGTTAACGGCCATCGTGAGTTATATTTAGGGAACGGACACGATATTGTACTTTTTTTGTTTACTTGAACTCAGGAATAGAGACAGAGGTGAGGTACAGCTGGGAGACAGTTAAGCCAGTACTTTCCAATAAAAATAAAATAAAAAATATAAAAACTTCTGAAGTAATAAGCAGTTACTTTTACCTAAGAGAACGTGGATGAGCCAGCCTACCAATCTCTCCCGGCCTTAGCCCATCATGAAACTGTTTTAAAGCACAAGCCATGCAGACTGTGTGTAGGCAGTGGAGACGTCCAGTGGAACAGTTTACACAACAACTGCCAAACTGTCACAATCTTATTGTTATCCTCTTTGATATTGTCACCTATATGTACATATAGGTACAGTTTGTTCACTTCTTGCCACTGCCAGTTCGTTTCCTGTTGCGCGCTCTCATTGGTTCTGTAGTTGTGTTTCACTCTTTATAACCTGATTCATAGCATGTTCGGGTTGTCGTTCACTTTGAATAACCCTGGAACGAAGTTGGAACTACTACTCGCAGCAGTAACAACCACTAGACATTATACAATTACAAATAAAGTTGTGGAAAAAATTGTGGTTTTACCGAATATAGGCTTTGCTACGACTGTGGGAAAAACTGGCAAAGCAGCACCAAGGAGAGCCCTTATCTCACCATTCACTTGCAAAGGGCATGGTCTGCCCCAGTTGACTCGGGAAAACAGGGCTTGCCTTCAAAATGAATTTGGGAGAAAATAAAAGTCTTTTTCTGACACCGTAGCGTAAAACGTAACGTACCGACATATCATCTGATCACATGCCGGTATCATGTCTACTCTACATCTCGTTAAAACCTGCGGCAGGACTGCAACAGCCTCCAAACAAACCTCTCCCTAGTCATTTGTCCTTTTTGGACTCCCTCAACTGTAATCTGTCCCTCTGAGACTAGTCATTTGAGTCATTTATACGCCAAGCCCTCGTAAGTCATTTCAGGGACAGCACTTGCAATAGTCTTATTGCTAGCATATAATTATGAACGGAATGCTTAACTAACCTTCTTTCTTTGCTCCTGCAGAGTAGCATTTAATGATGCAATCTGCTCAACAGAATGTTGCTTCATTGACTTGAGATGGTGCTTCGTCTGTAGGAAAAGATTTGAATAATGATTAGATAGACACTAACCCTTTTCTCCGATGTTTTTCAAATATTCTCATTCATTTTTAATACTGGCATGAAATACAGACACCTAGATAAATATGTGCATGTTCCAGTCCGAGGATTTAAGTTGCATAATAGACACTGTCATTCTGCAATATGTGAAAGGCCAAAGATTATGTGAAAAAGTCGATGTTTGATGACTTGAGCCAGACTGTCATTTTGAACGTACATGACTGTATCTCTGAATATCTGGACTAAACTACAGAACGTGTGCTCTGAGTGATTTCAATTTTGTTTGGCGTTAGGTAATGTCTTGTATTGCCATCTGTGCAAGCAGTAGGGTGAGTTGTTGCCCTTTTGGCCAATTGAGCATTGAATTCTGCTTGGAAGGATTGTGGCAACTCTGTTGTGACTCATGGTTGAATATGATCTCTTGGCCTGGATTTATGGAATACCCTGGTGCAGTGATTGAGATTTCCATCCAGCACATTATTGCAGTTCTGATCTACTCGAGTATCACCTGCTACAAGGAGCTGTGACATATGCCCCTTGATCTACTCTCAATAACAGAATCCCACGCATGCCGTACGGCATGCACCTTGCGTATAGAAACACTGCATTCCTTTCCTACCTTCTGTCCTTCCTCCGTGAAAGTGGCATTGATTGCAGCAAACTGTTGAGCAGAATGTAGCTGCATGTTCCTGAGGTGTTGCTTTGTCTGTGAGAAGGAGTTCAAGTAAAACGAATTAGACTCAAATATACCAGGAATTTGCTTGCCCAGAGCTAGCTTGACTACACACTCACTCAGGTTGTCTGAGCATGCCAAAGTGTTCATTGCCTAGCTACCGATTCGGATCACTTCCATTAGCTGTAGCTCTGGGAGAAAAGTACTCTTTAACGTCAATGCAGACAGCGGGTCCTGTGGCTGCTCTTCCGAGACGTCACAAGTTACACTATTCTCAAAATCCTATTGTCTCACGGATGACATAGGTCTGGGATCTTCCCAAAACTCGACTGATATCAAATCAGGCCGAGTACTAAGAACTGATTCGACTTCTACAACAAAAGTCATGTGAGTTCAATGGAGACTTGGTCATGATATCATGAGTTCAAATCCTTACTGGAAATCCTACTGGTTACAAACAAACAACGACTTCCTACTCCGTTGTACATGTATGCTCACGTATCACTTTTTTAGTAGCTGAGTTTGCGATTAATTTTTCAGCCTGACTGAATCTCACAAGGCGTTTGAGATATTTCAATCGGATAGGTCACATTCACACACAGGCTTGGATGCCTTGTATTATGATACCAGTGAAGTACTGCATTGGCACGCTTACCCTTTGCCCTTCTTCCTGCAAAGTGGTATTGATTGATTCAAAGTGCTTAGCAGAATGTTGCTGGATGGCCCTGAAATTTTGTGTGGTCTGTAGAAAGAATTGAAATAAAATCAAAGGAACTCACATTCTCCTGGGCTTCCATTTGACAACCAAACATATGCAGACCCTAACATGTGTATTTTGAACATCTATGGTCCAAATGAAGCCAAAACAAAATACGCGTTTGCTTAGACACTACGGGATGTTGAGGCATTTTTGTACTTAATATATTCGATCATTCTATGGTTGGTCATTACGATCACCTCTGATCACCGCTGGATATTATAATTGCAATAAATGCTGTGTAGCATATGGCAGTGGGATTGGAATTCTTGGAGCAGTGTTTTTGATAGCGGTTTTCCTTACCTTCTTCTCCTGTGCTTGCTGAGATAAGTTCAATGACGTCATCTCCTCCTTAATGGAGAGGAGTTTAACCTTGTTCTGTAAATACAGCGCAAACCAATATCCTGTGTGAAAGCAGCCAAAACAGTACTGCTACATATAGCTGTATAGTGTCAGAAAAATTGTTGATTGTGATCAGATGTTTAAAAACCAAGCGAGAAAGCCACAAGAGATTGTCACCTGAATTTCCATTTGATCCACCTTCGTCTTCTGCTGGACAAATATGGTTGTCAGTACTTTCATGTCGGAGAGTAGTTTATTGATTTGGAGATCCCTTTCTTCCAGTTTCTCTTCCAGCTGCTTGTTGTAGGTTTTAACCGCTTCGATTTGGTAGCAAAGCTCGCTGTTTGCAGATGATCCGCAGAGATCAACTAGAACGGGTGAAAGCAGAGCAAAATCCCCCAAGACTATCAACTGTTATCTTGGGTCCGTCCGTAATTATCCATCACTGCTACCGAACGAAACACATTGCATTTAGGCGTGTGTGGGACTGCTGTGTCCCTGTGTGCGTACCCAGTAGGAATAAACAGAATGTTTAGTCCGACTGAAAGTGATAATTCAGCTTTAAGCATCTAAAAGTCAAAGTGATACATGTAATTATATTATGTCTATGGAGCTGGTAACCACCACATTGCTCGACTCAGACCTTTCCAATGAGCCTTGTATCTAGGAGGTCCATCAATGTATGGAAAATGGGGTTCGATTTTGTTCCGTGACATGAATGCAGTTTTTGAAAGGAGGTTAAGTGCGTTAAAAACCCAGTCGCCCTGGGAGAACGAGACCAACAGTGAACGTGTCCCAACCCTTTCAGTCAGTTACTATGCTCAAAAGGAAATCCCGGTTACATTTCCTTTAAGTCCACTTGGCATATCTCTACTCTCAGATAGTGCAACTCAAGGGTTTGATGATCCTCAGAAAGGAACAGAATGAAATATAAAGATGATTGTTTGTGGATGCTTCCTGTCGCGAATATTTGCGATTTTGTTCCATGACGTGGATGAAGAGTTTGAAAGGAGGTTTAGTGCGTTGAAAACTCAGCCGCCCGGGGAAGATGGGGCCAACAGTGAACGTGCCTTAACCCCTTTCAAAAGTCAGTGACCATGCTCAAAAGGAAATCCCGGTTACATTTACTTCAAGCCCATTTGGCACTTGTCTACTCACAGATAGTGCAGTTCAAGGGTTTGACGATCTTCAGAAAGGAACAGAATGAAATCTGTAGGTGTTTGTTGGTGGATGCTTCCTGTCGCAAATATCCATGAGTGTCTCTGTAGTCTGTTCATGAATATTGAACTTCTGTGTTTCTGTCCTTGCTCGACTCAAAAACACACTGTACGTATGCGGTTTCCTAGACCTGTGAAATTACACTGCATTCGATGCCATCAATAGTGTGACACTTACCTTGGCAGTTAGTACCATCTCCCTTGTATCCAGATTGACAGTAACAAGAGTATGATCCTACAGTGTTATTACACATTGCATGTTCATTACACTCATGTACACCAGCTGTACATTCATCTAGATCTGGACAGAGAATGTGAATGAAGGGAAAAGTTCGGGTATTCAACCAGTGAAATATACACATGACCATGCTGGGAGAAAGCATGTGGTCGTAAAAACTGCTATTACTAGCCACTGTTCAGTTTCGGCAGTAGGAGCTAAATTGAAATCATATTCGGACGAATAAGCAAAAGCATAATCATAAGCGAAGCTGTGGACCCATCATACTGCTGCTACACTTCAACTGAACGCAGAAATATTTTGAATTACTCACACAATGTACTGTTTCACTGGCACTAGCCACATCGCAATCAATGCAGCTAACTAACACAAATAAAAGAGGTTTGTCAACTGACAACCGCTCTATTTAGTTGCTACTCACTCTCTAGATGAACATTCTTTTATTAATGATGTCGAAAAATCATGAGCGGTTGTCAGCTGACAAACCCCCTTTTATTTACAATGCAGTTGCGTGATGTCCACCACTTTCTGAACTAACTAACACAAGTTTAGCTTCATTTGCTCTCTCTCTTTCTCTCTACATAATTATAATAATGACAATAATATTTTGGACAAAAAACTATCCCTATGTATGTCAGATTATAGCGGAGCCCGACAACAGTCTTGCTTCCAAAGGCTTTTGTTACAGTAGACAATGCTCAATTATCATAGAGGAAAACTGGAGCAGTTGAATGGGATTCAACGGGACAGCAGGGTATGACATTCCATAACGCAGTAGGAAATACGAAGTTTGCTTCAATGTTGTCAGGACAAGTATGAATGAGGCTGCCTCCAATTTTAGCCATAACACGTCCCGCGATGTGCCTTTACTTGGCCTCATTGCCGGATTTCCCCAGTGAGTGGTTGTTATACTGAATTTGGCTTCGATCAGTTAGACATGCTTCCCGGCAACTCACCATTACACAAGCGTCCATCGCCTTTGAACCCCGTGTTGCACTCACACCCAAATGATCCATAACTGTTGATGCAAAAGGCTACAGCTGGTTGGTCACAGTTGTTCAAGTCTGGTCGACTACACTCATCTATGTCTGCACGTACACGCAGTAGGGACAAACAGACAAATAGAAAGATTTTCACACAAGGTGAGTTCATATTGCTTACTGACGAGCTGAGGTGCTAATTACTTGCGAAATGTCAGAAGACACAAGTTGGCAATGGAAAAGGCTACTTATTTTCTGTTCAACGCTGAGTTCCATTGAAATTCACCAAACGTCTGCTGTTTTTGGTCACTTATGAAATGAAAACACACCAACAGCCTTTCATTCATAATATCTTTCCTTTGTAGTCCAACTCTTAATGTGATGACGATCTCTGATGATTCTCACATGAAAACGACGTTCAAATCGTTTAAAAACACTATTGTTTAATTGTTCTCGTGGTATGAGTGCGCTCACTTTGCTTTCATCCATGTTTACATTAAATTTTGTGTTGCTTTTGTTGTACATAATGAAGCGAAGCCATTTACAAAGGGTTTTCGCCTCTTTTTCAATGATCCTGCATGACACTCACCTGCATCACACCTCCTTCCAGTCAGTCCAGCTGGACAAACACAAACAGCAGATTGCTGTGTAGTGTTGAACACACATTCTCCAGAGACTGAGCAAGGTAGACGCCTTGTTAAGTCAGCTGTGGGGCACTCTGGCGTTCGATCTGGATACAATTTGAGTGAAGGCAGAGCAGATGTAAGGAAAGAAAATTAGCAAACTCTGCGGCAATTCCAAATTGATGAAACAGCAATACTGAACCTGGAAGAAGGCAGTGTATTTCCCCTGCTTTTCATTGTGCTATCCTGAAAATGTCATATGCATTCGTTCTGATGTCTTCAGTCATTATCGGAGTCTTAATTATATTCTCCAATCAGAAGTGTTTTTCCATATTGTGACTTAACTCATGCATTTGTGATCGTGATAATCCTCTGGAAATTTCAGCAGCAAGCGCTTCCGCCCGTACAGTAGCACCCTCATTTAGCTCCTGTCATGTTGTATTTCTCGCGAAATATTTTCATTTGCAAATATGGCATCGGGTGTGTTCTTTATTGTCGCTTCTTTTCCTGACTTTATCGGTCAGTTTTGAGTCTCACCAGTGGCCCTGCCCTCCCACCCTTCATTTCGGTGCATATTATCATTGCTTTTAACACTGTTTGCAGTGATGTGCTTGCCATGCCTACATGGTGCCTAATCGCCATTGGGGATATACACCCGGTTTTTTCCCTCACAACTGCGTCCGTAGGCGCGAGGGTTTTTTCCCGGCTGGCTCGGTCCAGGAAAATTAATCTGACGGTCCCAATTGGTTCTGCATCATGGCCTATTTCTGCTATCCACTGGCACGCCTATTCTATCTGAGACACTCTGTTCTCAGTCCTTGCTCCCATACCTCCCTCGTTATCCGGTTCACATCTGGCTGCGGCCAACTACCCTTCACTGTGTGTGTTGTCGCTATTGCTGTCTATGTCTCTGTGTATTCCAGTATATGCGGAGCGAGAAATGTCTGGCATAGCTTGTTGGTATGTTACATGATTAGCTCTTGGCACATACTCGCTTCATCCCATCGAAGCATCTGTCAGTCAGAACGTGTAACCCTGTTTGATGGACTCCTGAATGTAGTACAGCTGTGTCTGCAAGAAACCGTGCTTGGCGACACACCCGTGCACACCCAACTGATCTGCAATTGTCTGATACCTACACTGCAACCAGCCTGAGAGTTGCCACTGTGCTCCATGCAGCGCAGCAGGCTCATGTATCTTCATTGCGGAACAAGCTGTCGAATGGAAACCTACGTGACAAAGCATGGTGGTCAAACATGAAGCGTGCAGGAGGTCTATCCCGCACATCTGATATTCCTGTCCTAAAGGGGGCCGATGGTCAGCAATGTACCACGGCCTCCTCCAAGGCTGACTGTTTCGCATCATTCTTCGCAGAGAAGTGCAGCATCCCAAATGATCTCACTGAAGACACACTCCCGCCTTTCCCACCACGCACTGACGCCATCCTGAGTCAAATCCGTTTCCGGGAATCAGCAGTGCTCAAGCAGCTCCGGTGTCTTGAAGTATCCAAAGCGTCCGGGCCAGACTCCATTTCCTGCCGCGTTCTAAAGGAGTGTGCGTCTGAGCTCTCAAAGCCGTTGTCGCAGCTGTTCTCGTCTTGTCTCTCCCATGGTTACCAGCCTACAGCCTGGAAGGTAGCCAATGTGGTTCCCATCCACAAGCGCAAGGCCAAGAGCGATGTCCGTAATTATCGACCAGTCTCCTTGCTCTGTGTAGTATCCAAGGTGATGGAAAGAATAGTTAACCAGCAGCTCATCAACCATCTCAACAGCAATGCCCTCCTGTCTGCCAACCAGTTTGGCTTTCGGAAATCAATCGGCACAGCTGACCTACTAACGTCACTCCAGCATGAATGGGCTTTAACCACCAGTAAGGCCGCGGTCACACCGAGCTCGATTCAGCCGTTCAGCCGAAACAAGCGCTTGTTTACGTCACTATTACCATGGAAATGGCTGAAAAATGTCCTACAAGCGACTTTCAGCCGTGGCTGACTCTCAGCCGTTTTTTTCCGGCTTGTTTCAGCCACAGCTTGTACAAGCGGCTGAAAGCCGAAATTCAAAAAATAATTTGAGTGCGCTTGGAGCTCCGGAGCACACCATTTAGCTAGTTGACATGATGAACTGATATTGATGTTCTTTCTTGTGTCCGTGGAACCGTGCTATCCCTGTGCCTTTGGTTTTGACCGTGAGTCTGTCTACCCCAACTACACTGTATTCAGTTTGATTCGGATTTTGTCCGACCATGGATTTCTGCCGCTGTGCCTCTAGACTGCTGCGTAGATTGTTGGAGCTGTGGTTCGAGGCCAAGACAAGGCACCACACTCACGACAGAATTCATGAAGAAAGCCGGGTACGAAGAAGAGACTGGATTGCAACTGAGTTCAATAACGGCAACCGGCGGGGCAGAAAGCTCGACATCAGGAAACACCACCCGAACCATCGCGTCCATGCACACCGAACAAATAAAAAGAGCACGACTTCGCAATTCAGAATCCGGGCTTCCTTTGCTTCTTCATCAAAACTGAACACTTGTAGAACAAGTTAGGTCGCGAACGTTCTGCTCTCCAGTTTCTTGCAAACATTGGTGTGTTTCGAGATATTCAAAATTTGGCGGGTAAGAAAAACAAGCCATTCAAGCTTTGCACTCAAGGTCTGGTGTGACCGCGTCACAGGGATCACGCAAGCCAGCTGAGCGCCAGCGATAACAAGCCAAAAGTGGCTTGTTTCGGTGTGACCGGGGCCTAAGGGCGGAACCATTCAGGCCCTCGCCATAGACTTAGCAGGCGCGTTTGACCGGGTTTCACACCCTGGGCTCCTCTGCAAGCTCCGAGGCTATGGCATTGGTGGGCAACTGCTGGCCTGGTTAACATCGTACCTCCAGAACCGGAAGCTGCAAGCTATTGTTGGGGGACAGACCTCTACCCCCTCTACCATCCGGTCAGGCGTCCCTCAGGGCAGCATCCTAGGGCCAACATTGTTTCTAGTATACATAAACGACGCCGAAGATCAGCTACCTGCCAGCGTCTCCATCGCCGTGTATGCTGATGATACTACGTTATACACGTCTGTCATGCCTGGACAGACCACAGAGGCCGCCGCAGCTGCACTTCAGACGGCCGTAAACCAGCTGGAAGCCTGGGGAAGTACTTGGAGGGTTACCTTTGAGCCCTCTAAGTCACAGCTGATGTCCGTGACCAGGAAGCTGGCCCCTCTAGACATCCCCCCTGTCCAATTCCTTGGCACCCCTGTTCCTGTCAGCAGCCAGTTGAAGCTCCTTGGGGTGGTGTTCGACGAGAAGCTCAACTTCAGCGCCCACCTCCACCAGCTTTCTGTGCGCGCACATCAACGCCTCCATTTCATGCGGAAGGCAGCCCCATCCTGGATGCTGCTGGACGCCTAACCGTCTATAAGGGCTTTGTAAGGCCCATACTTGAGTATGCCCCACTAGCCTGGCTTGGTGCTGCCCAGACCCACCTTGGGAAGTTGGACACAGCACAGCGCAAGGTCATGCAGATGATTGGACCCACCACCGTCCTCCAGAGTCTGCGGGCCAGACGGACGGTCGCAGGGCTGTCCTATCTCTACAAGGTAGTTAACTGCAAGGGCCCACCCCGTCTGACACGCATGCGCCCTCCCCCAAAACCACGGGCCGATACTGTTCGAACCCGCCAGCAGCATTATGCTCAGCGCCAGCACCGGGAACAGCTCTTAAACACCACCCCCGGCACCAGTCCCGATTACCTTCGACGTTCCTTCCCGTACTGTTTCCTTGAATTGTGGAACAGCCTCCCCGAGGACGTCTTTCCCCGTCTGGCCAATCACTCTCCACTCACAGCTTTAAAAAAAAGGTGTCAACAAACACATTTCAGACCAGCCATGGTCTTGGGACGTGCTTTGAAGCCCATCATGTTGATCGTCTCACTGTTCTTTCCAGATCGCACCTCTTGGTTTGGGGATGTGCATTGAAGCACCCCATACTAACGGTCTATACTGTCCTCTCTTGGTCACCACTCTCCCTATTACCTGTAATTACCATTCATGTATTGCGCTTCAGATTTTCTTCCGTTTTTGTCTCTTGGTGCGTTACCGGCATGGCGATACTGAGACCTAATGGTCAGTGGAGTGCCTGTAGCCTCACCAGCACTGCTACTATCTGTGACTGTGGCGACCACCATTCAATGTCTCGTCCTCCCCTAACCGTACCCCAACTCTCTCTCTCTCTCAGCTCTATTTTTATCTGTCTTTTCTTACTCTTTTTTCTTTGTCAGCTTTCCTGGTGGTATTGTGCTTTTTCAAGTAAAAAAAAAAAACTTGACATGACAAGGGAACTACTAGTTCCCTGTTGAAGCTTCTCTTTGCGCTGGGCTTCAAGTTTGTTCATGAAGGCACCAAGTTTCTCTACATCCATTGCCATGGGAGAGACAAGCCACGCTGCAACGTAAACTGTTGCAATGTTGAGATGCAGGACAGTGCTTCTTTGCCGGATACTTCTGTGGACTCAGTGTGACCTGGTGACTGAGCTGTGTGATTGCACTTCGACAGAGAGCCGCTCAGTCTTAGTTTCTCCTTCGAGTAGTAACATCGATCAAAGAGCGCTTTGGATGCGCTCTCCAAGACGTTTCCTATCATGTTTGTTCTTGACAGCACTTGAAATTATGACAGGTGTAGTGCAGTCCACACTGATTCCACAGTCAAAATGAGACTGCGTTCATTTGTCCAGCTGTAGTATCGAAACAGTCCTTTCAGGATCATGGAAAATCATCAACATTTCGAGAAGGAGCTTCGAGCAATGTTTGATTTCCTACATCGCGGTCGCTAGTTACGGGTCAAAATTCGACATTGGGACAAGAAAAGGCGGTCGCTGGTCGCGTTCAGCAGGTAGTCGCTAGTCACAGTGCATTTTGGATGTGAGACCGTCCGTGCCTGACGAAGTGGTCGGTAGTACCAGGCCGGTCGCTAGTCACGGTGGTCGTTAGTTACAGGTTTTACTGTAATTTGCTTGATTCGACGTCAGTTTTGTACCAGCTGAGCTCATGAAGCCATCTCCTATTTGTAGAGTCGGGTAATGCTGATAAATGCATGGCGGAAGCTTGATAACTACTATTGAGGTCTGCATGTAGGGGACATACGTCACAATGAAGCCGAGCGTTAACTATTCCATTTTCTTTACAGCATCATAATTATGATAACGTGCTGCTCGTGCTGCTCCGTTAGTCATATCCGCACAAAAACAGTACTTGTATACTGTAAAACCGGAAAGTTTAACGCCCAAAAGGTTAACGTTTTGTTTGCAATTTTGGCATGAAAACGTGCAGAAAGTTTGGCGATGGCTACCTGGCCATCCATGTGTATGCACATTTGAACACTGACATCTAGCGATAACGTGCTTTTCAAATAACAAAAAAGAATTGTCGTTAAAACGTTTGACCTTGTGACTCGTTAGACTTTCCGGTTTTACAGTATACAAGTCTGTAGGCGCACGCCATTGTTCAGGGTTACAGAAGGAATGTGATTGCCATATTATCCAGCTTGGGGGGAAGCACTTGTGTGTGTGTGTGTGTGTGTGTGTGTGTGTGTGTGTGTGTTTGTCAGTGCGCGTGTGTGTGCGTGTGTGTGTGTGTGTGTGTGTGTGTGCATGTGTGCGCACGCGCGCATGTGTGTGTAGGCTTGTTTGGATGCGATAACTTCACTTTGTCTTCTAGAGAAAAAATAGACATCTGAAGACTATTTGGACACAAATCGCGATAAACAATATATTTGAGAAATGTTGAGATTTAGAGCTTAGTATGCTCAGAAGGTTCAGGGGCACATTCCAACCTGACTATAACCGCATGCACTTCACAACTGGTAACACATAATGGATTCCCGTTTTGAGTCTTTCCCTCAAACCAGTTAACATAATGGATTTATAATCAAACCGCAACTATCTTTGTTGATCATTATCCGAAAAAAGGTGAGTGGGGTACTATTTGTGCTGGTACTCGTTAGCAACAATCCGAACTAGCGCACACACTGCACTGCATTGCTTTGTACTGCATTCTAGACTGACGTCATGCACTTTGTTTTGCTGCGTAATCACAAATGGCACCCAGCCTCGTTTCGCTGAAAAGAACAAACAAATCTTGCTTGCCCTGTTGTGCTCTTCCAGACAACGGATCGAGCTTCAGCAGTGTTTCTTTTCCCAACATCCCTCCCTATCCAACTTATTGAAACCATCATTATAATTATCGTACCCACTAATCGGGTCCACTCTCACAACTGGTGTTATCTAGCTATTTGCTGCGACTCTGCCTTGCGCTATAACGTGATTACATTCATTTAGCATTGCAGCTTACGTTGAACTAACAGCAGCTCTACTTTGAGCTAACAGCAGCACTACTTTGAGATAACAGCAGCTCTACTTTGAGTTAACAGCAGCTCTACCTTGAGCTAACAGCAGCTCTACTTTGAGCTAACGCAGCTCTACTTCAAGCTAACAGCAGCTCTACTTTGAGCTAACCGCAGCTCTACGTTGAGCTAATGGTAGCTCTACTTTGAGCTAACAGCAGCTCTACTTTGAGCTAACCGCAGCTCTACTTTGAGCTAACCGCAGCTCTACTTTGAGCTAACCACAGCTCTAGTCTGAGCTAAAAGCAGCTCTACTCTGAGCTAACAGCAGCTCTACTTTGAGCTGACAGCAGCTCTACTCTGAGCTAACAGCAACTCTACTTTGAGCTTCAAACCAGTTGTTTCGAAACCAGCACTCCTCAATTCAAAGATGCCTCATTGCTGACTTGTTTGTTTGAATGATGGGCCTAATTGGGTATAACATCTTAAAGGGGAGTAAGCCTGAAATCAAATTTTCGCCAGATGTAGTCTTCGGGGTGCTGAGTCGAATGGTCCTGGTCCGAGGAATCTGACACGCTCCCTTCCTCCTGTATTCCCAATTGAACTCGAGCACTTCTACCGAAACTGGGTGACTGAGCCCTACTAGATGGGGATTTGTATGCAAAATGTCACTGAAAGCGCCATGTCGTTCTTATAAAAGCACGGATGACCACGATTGGCCCATATGTTGTAGCCGTTTGGACGCTGAGTCGACTAGTTTTGGTCCGAAAAGGCTGTAATGCAGCGTTTGGCCCTTATGCCCAATCGAACATGGCCGAACAAGCGGTCACGTGCTGCTGCGTACACCAGTCACCTGGTCACCGCGCCAGCAGGCGACAATCTTCACACCAAGGTTCAAATAAAAGGCTCAACTCGAGTGACAGAAACCCAGTTGTACTTACTCTAAGATTGTGCAGAAATAACAAGGTCTACTTACGGATGCAGTGTTTGAGGTCTGCTGCAAGCTGCGGTGCGTAACCCAAGAGGAGACTTAAGAAGAATTGCTCTTGGTGCTTGACAACCTTCTCATCTAACATTGCTTGAATGGCAGCTGGTGTGTTGGGAATGGTGAGAGCTCTTGCACGACTGGAGTTGGCAATCAGTAGCCATTCCGTCATGCAGCTGGTGTCTTCAGTGACCATCGCAGCTGGTGTATCTATTGACAGAGCGACAAAATATTGGAAATTGGAAGTTTGAAGATCAAAAAATTGAAATAAGGTAGGCACAGCCACAATCAAGAATTAGTGTAATATGCCGTCACGGCTATGTCTTCACACTCTAGGGCTAAGCGTGTAGTTTTCTCCAATCCAAAATAGAGCTTGTGTGCAGTCACTTCTCATCCTTCTGCGGGACTACGGGAGTATAATCAATACTTCAAGTATAGGCATAGCCGCGTGTAATACCGGTGTGCCGCGGCCACAGATTAGTTTAGGATGAAAGGCTTCAATGAAAGGAGAGAGGAGAGAAAGAAACGGGAGTAGTGGATCAAAGGTCAAGACTTTAAACAGACGGTTTTTGCCAAGTTCTAGTATCCGTGCATTGCTAGGATATCACCAAGATTGAACCACCTAAGACAGGAATGTCAGTCCTACTTGGAGTTTAATGGTGAACTATCATCAAGATTCCGGATGCAAACACATTAAAACCAAGTATTGATTTCAGAAGTAATGATACGAAAGGCTTCATCCGATCTACAACTTTGTCTCTTCGTGCGCTAATATGTTTCCCTCATGTTGCGTGGTGATGTCTGAGGCATTCATACTTTCTGTAGCTCTTATCAAACTATTGTGTCTGTATAGATTAAGTGAGCTATCATCAAGATAATACCTGTTCCAGTGCCTGTAAGACGTATCCCCTCATCTCTACCGTCAGGTGCTGCACCTGCCGCTGGATTTATCGGGTGCTTGGGGCCATCTTGACTTCCAATTGGGGAATGGACACGATAATTTACTTTTACTTAATTTGTTATCATCAAGATGATGTTCTGTCCTCATGAAACCCGTAGACTAGTTGTATCCGACTATGCTGACTACAGCGTTACGGTTCTCCAGTCCAAACAGTAAGAACTGGTTTTCAAAATGAAAGTCCACAACTGTGCATCCTGCATTGTTATGTCATATTACCAGGATTACGGTCCTAACCTTCACTAGTAAACACATTACAATCCTAGGTGAGAAATATCTTTTTCCCATTTGCAAATTCATAATGTCAGCTGGTCAGGTTGGCATGATTTCAAAATTATACATGTTTTGATCAATATTTATGCACTTTAGAAAAATGTGGGCACAATGTATCCTATCGAGTCCACCAGCTAAAACAGATTTTGAACGGTCAGACGTGCATAATCTAGCACAAAATCACGTCGGACTGTTCAAAAATCTGGCTTAGTTGGTGGACTCGATCGCACAACTTGTGCACTCACTTTTGCATGCTATAATATTTCCCTTGGTTCACCATCAAAGGTCTTTAAAAATGTATGTACTTTGGATGATAATTGGCGAAATGTTCACGAAGGTACACCGGTTGTGTGGCTACATCTTACATTTTCGTAAAAATAAAATCCGGTGAATACATTAGTTTTACCACGCACTCGCTTCTGAACAGAACAAAATTAATGATGAATTTCAATTCAAACCCTTCTTTTTGCTGCATTTTGTCCAAGACTTATTGTCAATTTTTGCGAAAGGTGAAACGATATCCATGTGAACTAGTGGTGGATCGGTATATAGTACAATAACAAAGCTTCCAATCTCTCTCTTGTGTATGTGTACAATACACAAAAAGCGAGAATTCCCAGAATTCCTAGAGTGCTCAACAGCACAAGTATGGAGCAATACCACAAAGGCAGACGAGAACATATACAAGAGTCCAGATCAGAGTTGGAAAGCTGCGTTTCATTCATACATGTATGGTACGGCTAAGGTAAACCTCAGACAACTGACTCAGTTGTCTGAGGTTTACCTTAGCCCTGCCATGTGCATGAAACGCAGCGTTTCAACGATGATCTAACTGGTTTGCTCTGTTGTCTTGTACATTCTACAATGTACACTGTACATGCATTACTTTCTTGCATGCACTTAGTCGCTGGCTGCTTTGACAGGTTCCTGTCATACAGCTGTCAACAGACCAGCCCTGTGCAGTAGTGAGTTCAGCAGGGGATGCATGACGTTATCAGTTTATGCTTTGGCTCAGAGACCATACAGTCCTGTTAGTGAGTTTTACGCTACAGTGCTGCTGCAGTTATGTACACAAGTCAGTGGACAGCAACAGTTACTGTTTCGCTCTGTTAGAGCTCATCAGCACAGCTCAGAGGACCGAAGCGCAGCTCGTCGCAATGAAATACGTGTCCGTGAAGCAAAGCATTTTTATAAGAGCTCCAAACCCCTTACAGTGGAGACAAAATGCTGTGCAGCTATAACTTCAAGTTAGTCTTGGCCATCATCATACAGCAGCACTTGGATGCATGCCAAATGCTGCTGTATGATAATCAATGAAATGAAAATGGAATTTACAGCCACACCGGCTTCCGCCTCCATTGTATGTTAATACTGATCTACCAATTAGTTCATAGAGCAGTCAGATTTAAGCTGCCCTGACCAATCTGAATGTTTAGTTACTCCTTTAAAATTGTTTCTGACCAGTTATAACAAAATTGAATTGAGTTTCATGCACATCACACCGCTGATTGTCATAAACGTCAACACACACAAGATAACAATGTACATGTACGTCGTCTACAACGTACGTGGTGTTTGACTGTTATCAAACTTCTTACCGCCATCATCCGGCACCACTGGTGTTGGTGAGGCCATAGCCTGTCCACAGTTCACCGTCATCACCAGCAGCAGCAGCAATGGAGCCAGATACAGTAGTAGGCATGCCATGATACTGCCTAGCTGTAGGCTGCGCATAGCTACACCTGATGATCCCAGAGGTTAGTTCGCAGTATCACTATCAGACTAGTGGGTGAGCTATCGGACTCGAGAACACCTGATGATCAACTGGAGAGGAATTGGTTGAGAAACAAGAATTGTGGGCCAGTGAACGTTTTCAGCACCTAATATTCTAACTCACTGCCGCTTATACTCATTTACATATGTTGAGCGGAGTAAAGCTTGAATATGTACATTGCGGCCTTGGCGGCTCCAAATCCGTGCCTGGAACGGCGATCGCGAGTCACCTCACGCCCTAGTAGTGACAACCTGTCTGGTTACAGAACATGACACTGACAGTTTTGCACACAATAAACCAGTCCATGGCTGACAAAGCAACGTTGTCCTACATCACGTATACTCACGCCTGTACACAGTTGAGCATGTCCGTGGTGTTTGCATGCTTGCAGTTGCTAGGTGATGTGTGCTACTCCAAGTACATCTACGAGTCTACTACATAACAAGGTTTATCTAATACTGGTTTTGAACCAGTGTGAGGTTATAATAATAATAATAATAATAATTATTATTATTGCAAATAACGCTGAGTAATTACACGAATGCATAAAAACCAGCATTTGCTTCCGGGAAGGATTCACAAACATAAGACAAAAACACCATGGCTCAATGTAACTGCACATACGAAAAGCAGCATCTATTGTCAAGTTCGAGTGGCAATGTCAGAAAGATGGTAGACTGTTCGGCGTGCACGATGTTCAACCTGCAGGTATTATTATAATAATACCATGTAGTTAATAGTAATGTATTCCAGCTCAACCACATTTGGCGACACCAATATTCCGTTCTACCTACCAATGATCGACACTGACCCACGCTGCTTTCTGGCGTCACGTGGTGATCGCCGCACTGGAAACCGAGTGTCTCTGTACGTTTCCAGGCCTGGTGATGTTTGGAACCACAACATTATACAACCTTGTTGTGGTGCTCTTCGGACAGAATCTTCCTCAGCCCACTCAAGCTCAACTGTTGAAGCGAGGATTCCCGGAAACATGGCCAATTGAGCAGAGAGTGGTGCTTTCCTGGTGAAGTCAAGTCAGCGGGAAAGCGCCAGCTCCGGTGTACGGAGCAACAAACGTTGATATGACTGGAAAAAAAAATTTCGCATGAAAATGATGAATGGATGATGGATGAAGAATGAATTATGTTGAAGTTAAGATGCTATACTGCGCCATTACTAGATGTACTTCTGAAGTAAATAGTAGAACACACATCAGAACTAGTTACAAGTATAGTAACTTTAACATCCAAGACTGTAGCAAGATAATCAGCAGGCTGAAGGTGCAGATCGTCCAAGATCTCAGAGGCATGTCAGTTCTGTGCCTTTTCATTGCACGTTCTGACTGCTTATTATCTTGTTACAATCGTGGATAGTTGTTTCAAAATTAGTTCTCACGTGGTTCCTTCTCTTTTAGATAAATTATTTACTGATGAATGAATGCTTTCACATGAAAATGTTGAATGGTGTTGCCAGGTGGGAACACAACTGAAGAAGATGACCCTCGTCTTACATGTCCTCCTTCGCCTCAGCGCTGAAGGATGCGATCATCCAAAGCAATTACTTGTTGTCTGTTGCTGCTGTGCCACTATTATCAGCTCTTGCACTGTGCTTGTAATTGAAGTAAAAGTGCTGGAAACTGAAATCCGACCCCCTGGGCGGCGCGGCGCGCCGCCCAGGGGGTCGGATTTCAGTTTCCAACGCTGTACATGTACAATTTATACATGTACAGCATTCTTGAATATAAGTAGGATTGTCCGTATTTTGCTGTGGTGATTCAAACAGATTTTGTTGTTTTGAACTTCGAGTTGAACGTTGTCCAACACTTTGGTTATCAAAATATGCTATACGTGTATGGGCACGTGCATGTGTATGCAAACCTACGTCGTTAAGCCGGAGGCATGACAGCGCTGGCACTTGGATGCACTGTAACTTGAATCCAGTGCTGCATTGTAAGTCTCCGCTGTGCAACACATGCTACACGCTATGTATTGTAGTTTGACGTTCATGTACTAGTAAACCTCCACCACACCTAAGACGGGACCTTTCAAAACTGTCACTATTATGCTACGGTAGTGCTGGTTCAACTTTAAAAAAGTAAGGCTCAACTCTCTGCATTACAATCGTCTTAGAAAGCTAGGGAGCAGATTTATTGGTTTGAACCTATATGCTCGTCTCAATTTGTTGTGGCATACAATTCTAACAACCACCTGGCAATTGTCCTTGGCATGCTCATACATGTATTGCTGCCAGACTAGGAAAATGTAGATACATAATGTTGTATTTCAAGTAGTTACTGAATCTGAGGACAGAACTGTTTCGTCCTTTGTGGACTCATCGGCGCACCACAGAGAAAATTAGGCAGAACCAGATATCGGTAGTAATGAAATGTAAAATTTCCAAAAGCCAGATTTATACCAGGCCGGAAAGTACCTTGCAGGGCTGCTCAAACTGACAAGTCAATGAGCTCTGCATAGCGCAAACAACAAAGTCACTACCCACACGAGAGAGGTCAACTGCTACAACCTCAAGAGGAGGAGCGAAATGCTTTTAAAATCTACGGGCAGAACTGTTTCGTCCTTTGTAGACTCATCAGCGCAGCACAGAGAAAATGAGGCGGAATCTTATGGCAATGAAAAATAGAATTTCCAAAGCCAGATTTAAACCAGGCCCAAACGTACCTTGCTGGAATGCAGTAAATATTGAACTTGGACAGAATATACAGGTATAGGTACATGCAGATAGATAATAGATAGAGTGAATAGAGAGAGTGAATAGATAGAAAGATCTACAGACAGGATACAATGTAGAATAACGGGAGACAAGTTGCATGTTCTAACGCCATGTTTCCTGCCCCACGGCGACTACCAGAAAACAATACAAACTACTAGATTGCTACATAGATGGAAAGAGGGGAGAGAGAGAGTAGAGAGGGGGGGGGGGGCAGAGGGATTGGGAGGCAAACAGTTAGTTCTGTTGATTATTGCAAAGTTCTTCGATATGCAGAGTGGATGTGAGGGTACCTGTACCAGGGTGGTAACCCAGGCGATAATCGCTTGTACCGCATTGTGCCTCTATGTGTGTAGAGAACGACAGCGGACCTGAAGTGTTGATATTGCAAATACCACTCACAACACCAGCATGTATTTGAAAGTGGGCTGTTGAACCAGAGCTTCCACTTCTGATAGGGGCTGGGTCTGAACAGTCTCTGCCGTTGATACGCACTGACACCTTCACACAATGCCAATTATTGCCCCCATGCTGAAATCCAATAGAGGTTGTGTACACCACTCTGATAACAGTGTCAGGTCTAGTCTTGTTGAACACGACTCCACTGAACGGGTTTCTAACACTACTCGATGTATCCATTGTAAATGTCTTCCATGATACAATACCGCACTGCGAATGACATACATGTAGAAGATATGATATGAGCGTAATATGCCCAATTTGTGGCACGCGGTAGTGATTGTTAATTAGCCAGAACAATGTTGAGTAGCCATTTTCACTGCTGTCAAACAGGGTTAACTGGGCCGTCGTGAGTTCCATTAGGGAACGGACACGATAATATACTCTTTTTGTTTACTTAAACTCCCGAATAGAGACGGAGGTGAGGTAGTGCTGGGAGACAGCTAAAACAATACTTCTGAAGTTATAAGCAGTTATACCTCAGAGAGCATCAATGGACCAGACTACCAATCTCTCCCGGCCTTAGCCCATCATGAAACTGTTAAGCACAAGCCAAGCAGACTGTGTGTAGGCAGTGGAGACGTCCAGTGGAACAATTATTTACACTACAACTGCCAAACTGTGACAATCTTATCGTTCTCCTCTTTGAAGTTGTCACGTATATTATGTACATATAGGTACAGTTTGTTGACATCTTGCTACTGCCAGTTAGTTTCCTGTTGCGCGTTCTCATTGTTTCTGTAGTTGTGGTTCATTCTTCTCTAACCTGATTCATGACATGTTTGGGTTGTCGTTCACTTGAACCAATCCTGAACTCAGTTGGAACTACTACACGCAGCAGTAAAAACCACTAGACATTGTACAATTACAAATAAAGCTGTGGAAAAAATTGTGGTTTTACCGAATATAGGCTTTCTTACGACTGTGGAAAAGACTCGCAAAGCAGCACCAAGGAGAGCCCTTGTTTCAACATTCACTTGCAAAGAGCATGGTCTGCACCAGTTGACTCTGGAAAATAGGGCATGCCTTCAAAATGAGCTTGGAAGAAAATGTTTATAAAAAAAATTCCTTACATAATAATACGTATCAACATAATCCGATCACCTGCCGGTATCAAGTCTACTATGCATCTCATTTAAACCTGCTTCAAGCCTTCAACAGCCTTCGAACAAAGCTACCCCTCCTCAGTACAGTCCAATTCAGGCTCTCCTTCTTGCACTCTCTTGACTCTAATCTCTCCCTCTGAGGCTAGTCACGTGAATCGATTAGACGCCGAGGCCTCTTTTTAAAAGTCATTTCAAGGAAAGCACTTCATACTCTTAGTCGTATTGCTAGTATTCTATTACATTGCATAACAGAAATGCTTAACTAACCTTCTTTCTTTCCTCCTGCAGAGTATCACTGATTGTTGAAAGCTGCTCAACAGAATGTTGCTTAATAGACTTGAAATGTTGCTTCGTCTGTTGGAAAAGATTTGAAAAATGATCAGATAGACACTACTGAAGAATAGTAAACGTGTTTTGCAATATATGTATGAAGCTATTTTGTATATAGTATGTTCCCATTCCGTTTTTGCTTTGGTGTAGCCCTGAGGTTGATTGCTTATTTATTTCTACCCTCCTCTCTCCATACTTCTGTCCCCCCCCCCCTCTCTCTCATTCCTTCTGTCGTCCACATGTATCAAAGGAGGCGAAATCGCCTGTTTGTGGTGCGACGTTAAATAAACTTCTACAACAACAACAACAACAACACTAACCCTTTTCTCCGGTGTTTTTCAAATATTCTCATTCATTTTTAATACTGGCATGAATTACAGAATCCTAGATAAATATGTGCATGTTCCAGTCTGAGGATTTAAGTTGCATAATAAACACTGTCACTCTGCAATATGTGAAATACCAAAGA